ATCCGGTGATCATTATCGGTCAAGTGGGCAACACTCGCATTATTCGCGTGGTTCGGTTTATCGAAAAGTTTTCAGGATGGCATGTACTCACCGGCTCTTACGGATAGATAGAGCGTCGTCTGTCCTACAAACAAAGGAATAGAGGATAATAGATACTCTTCGTAAACTACGTAAATGCAGGTAGGTAAGGAGGAAGTACTCACTCAGCTGTTCACTGGGGATGAAACGTTTGCATGCCAATTACCAAGCTCGGCTAACGGATCAGCATCAGTCTGATCAGCCACCAGTATACTCACCCGAGCTACCAATGTGTCGACACATTGGCAGTGGTCCACGCTCCTCGCGAAAATGCCTTAACCGGACGATATGTAATCTTGCTTCCCACTCGAATAAGACCCGGCAAAATATTGCAGCACCATAACTGTACAAAGCTTGAGGTGTATTGACTCCAGACCTAAGTTATGCGGTAGGATTGATGAAAAAATGAGGAACATTGCCCGTTTAACGTTCCCTGAAGTAGCTTCTTGAAGTTTTGGGGCGAAGTGTCCACAGAATATCTCTTCACCCACAGATACTGTGAGGTTTGTTCCCTGATTTTGTGGCACCAATTCTTCAACTCTAGGTTCTTCTACCGGTCAGAGTAGTATTTGTGTAAATTATGAATTTCATTCCAATTGCTGACCAGAACTTTTTCATTCCATCCAATGGGTGTGACGTTTTGGTAGAAGAAACATGACTGTTTCTAGGACATACACTCATCTGCCCAACTATTTGGCCTCAACAGAGGAGACAACCAAATCCCAGCTGAATCTCTCGTTTCTGCTTTCCTTCAACTGAATGCGCTGTACAAAGACCACATCGTGTTTCAATTGGTACAGTGTTCTAGATATGCCAGTATGCTTTCTGGAAGATTGGTTTAGTCGAGTGTTCGGAATAAGAGAGCGTATATCTTTCGTTGTTTCTCACACTGTTTAGTTTTCATGTTCAATGGACAGGTCACTCTGTGTTTATTATCGCTAGGATTGACTTACTTTGAACAATGAAGGGAGCTGGTTTGCGTAAGAGTCTCATTCAGAATCGACAGGGTTGTGGTCAACCACTTTTTCCTTACTATCCAAAGATACAGAACACAATGGTTGCGAGTAGTGGTTTGGTAAAATCTCACGACACAATGACATCCAAAGATAGCAGTCGGTTTGTTTAGACAGATGCGGGATGGAATAAATTGCGTGATGGTTGAAAAAGATTCTTGGGGAACCATAAGAAACGTAATACTCCACGTCGTATCACTGAATCCACCTATCAAAACGGGATTTATAGGCTAGAACAAAAACGAAAAAATCTTGAAGTTCTTCTGCTAATCGCTTGGTCTCACTTTTGCAGTTCAGCGCGTGGATACATTAGCTTCTTTCCAAGTCATCCTTGTATTTCCTCATCAGTATTTTCTAGTTGGCTGTCTGGAGATTTGTATGGAATTGCGAAAATACTGGGACTTTTTAGCACGAAAAATTTTCAGTACTTCCTTTGTTTTGTTGACTAAAAATATCTGTCCACTTATATCCATATGGAGATCGATCTATAGGATGCTTTCAGTCCAGTCAACTCCAACTGCCCCCACTTGTTTGCACGAGAAGTTTGATAAGACGGTAGCAGTCCCGTTCTCCATCATCAGTTGCTCCAGGTGGAGCTTTCCTGACCATCGAAGGTTGATTACCTTCTTCGAGTCGGGCATTCAGACAGCCGGGAAGGTTCTCAAAACAATCTATGATGCGTTCTAAAAATAATTGGGTGGAGTAGGGTTCTGTTCCGACCCCAGCCTGTGTATCGGTTTTCGTAATTTTCACTTTAGCTTGGTTGTCTTATTTGTTGCTTCAGATATGAACACTTTGTTCTTCCGTAGTATAAAAGATTGTGACTGGTTATGTTGGCTCTGTGGGGTCGCCCTCTTGGGAGGGACTGTTTTATCTCATTTTTCACAGTCTTCTATTATAATCCATGAAGCGGAGCCGTTTATTCACCCGGAATGTCTTTATGTTCATCTCAAAATGTCACGCTAGAGTCATGTTTGTTGCCCATAAACTTAATTCCCTCTCTTGATTCACTAACCATCTAGACGGCGGGACTGCCTGCGTCAGCTCATCGCCACTCTCTGCGATCGCGGGGAGTCAGCTCGGTTGGTTGATTTTCACTACGGATCAGCTGAACAGGAGGTGGGTATCTGCCGAAAACTGTAGATATCACTTTTCACGCAGGAGTTCTTGTTTAACACTCGGTCATCAAATCTCGTCTCTGCTTCCCCCTACCTTTAGTGTGTGTTAATTCTGGAGGCGCGTGCCAGGGCAACCGACGTCCTACCAAGTTTCGTTGCATTTTCGAAAAAAGAGCCACCCTATACCGTCAATCCATATTACGATGTCTTGTACGCCTTCCATATCCGACGTTCGAATTATCGTGCGGCAGCCATGATTCTTTTTGAGCATGTCCATCGGCTGATGGAGGAGACAACCTGTCCGATGTCATCCCTGGACGGCGCTGGCTTTCGTGCCGGTGGTGCTCGACTCCTTTTTGGATTGCAGCGTCAAGCTGCGAACCTGGCCGCTGCAATTAATGCGTTGTATATTGTTCAGAAGGAACATCAGTGGTTGATTCGTCCAGGAGCGATCAGCTTTGACGATGACGTCTACGGTCGGTGGCCTCGGGCAAGCGATGTGGATGGTGAGGTGCATGATCTTGAGGAGGTGCGAACTGGTTTACACTTGGTACGTTTCGTTTAATTTTTCCACAAAATGATACAGTTTGTCGACCAAGTTGTTTCATGAGGTATATTCATTAATTTCAAACAGTCAAGATCATCCGGAGCTGCTGCAGACTATTGAGTACCATCCTGTAGTCGCTCAAGAAACTTGTCTTCCAAACGGGCGTTTTCCTCCGAACGATCATTAGGATGCTCGTACTGCATGTACACTGGATATCCAAACTTCTTTCTCTCTTTTTCATAAAGGAAACTACTCACAAGGTCGCTGAAAACTCTTCGACAACCCACGACCGGTTTCGCCCTTCTTGGGGCTCATCAACGAGAGATTCAATTGAGTCTCCCGTGAAAACCAAATTGATTTGCAAATGAGTATATTTCTCTGTCGTTAAATTAGGTGATATGGACTAGGGCAGTGATCACTATTCTTGAAGCGAATAAGAGTTTCCCGTTCAGTTCTTTCGGAACTGCTGGTTTTCAGACCTATTTTCTCACCTCGCTGATCTGGCTGTGCACGAATAGATACCTCCCAGAGTATCAGCAGAGGAATTGAATTCTTAGTAGTAACAATACTTGCACAGTGTGGCCTTTTTGAGGGAGTGTATAGTGCCTACGCACCAAAGCGTCCTGGGAATCACTATGAAAGCTGTTAACGTAAACTTACCAGTCTTAAATATGTGCACCTAGTACTGGTATTTTGGGTCTCAACCGGGTGATATTCCCCTCAATCCGTCATTTTCGCTACTAACTTTTGGTGCCCGCAATAGTTTATGACCAGATCGACTGCGAGTTGTGTTGTATTAGGTTCAATTTCTAGCGGTTCGCTAGTTTTGCACGCGGCTTTCTATCGAAGAAGACTAGCTTTCTGCGTTTTCTTCTCGGCCACCGTCATATAGCCAGTTCAATGATGGAAGATAGTTGGGGTCGGCTAGAAATGCGTCACCAAGGAATATCAGACGCTTACAACACCTCCATGAGTCTGTATCAACTGCTCGACATTGTGTGTCGGAAGCCTGCAGACCGTGTTGAAGGCTGACTGAAGACCAGTGCTATCAACCATCCACCTGCAACGATTTCCAGACACTGTGATTTCACGCTGCGGTTTTAAGAAAATTTTACCCATGACAACAATTGCCTAAGTTGAACTAGATTATTTTACGGGCGTGTTGTGTTTGAAGTGTCCATCCGAATAGTACTGCCAGCAGCGCTTTTTTGCTTACTAGCGTAATTATCACGGTATGTCTGGGATATCTTTTTTACTGCTACCGGATGTGGAGCGAATACTCTGTTCACAGTTCAGCTTGAATTGGCCAGTTACTGCTTATTTCCCGGCCGACGGTGTTTCCAATGGACGCCAATTCACCGTAGATGGGCCACATGCGGCTGCGGCGTAACCTGTGTGCAAGCCGCCGATCCGATCTAGACTGGAGTGTGTAGGACCAGCTAGCAAACGTTTACTATTCTGTTGAGAGCCACTTGTCGATCTATGCATGACAAAGCACCAGGATTAGTTATATGAATGTAATATGACGATTTACTGCTGTTTGCGTACAATTCATCGTAATCAGATGATTTATCTTCCATCTTGACCATTCTCCTCTAACTCATAAAGCTTGTTGAAAATGATTGGGCCTTTGCTGATCCTGATGTGGAAACCGCAAGCTTGTCGACGGATGCAGAAATGACCTCTCGTCAGGGCGAACTAGTGGATTGCTCAATGACGGAACCGTCTGGGCCAGGCGATATGATCCGTCTCGCTCAAGATAAGCAAATTTTACAACTCAACGATTTGTTGCGCCTGTATACACTAATTCGAGCCAGACTGCGCCTCGTACAGGTTTGTTGGGAGCAAGGCATGTTGCGTGCTGGGTCCAGCAGCCCACAGGAGACTGTTCAGAGCCTCTTATCTTTGGCACTGTACGATGTGAGTTGCTATCAAGTTTTATATTAATCATGTCCCCAACACGTTTTCCTTCGACCCTATGTGGGTGCTACTTGTAAATCTATCATGAGTCATACTTCACTCTCCTAACGCAGACACCAACCGGTACTCTCAGGTTGCACAAGCGTGGTAACAGTTCTGCGGCAAAAGCGTACATTGATCTGCAGTGCTTTAGTATCCACTGAATGAGGGACACTATTGGAAAGGACACAGCTTTTTTCCTGACTATGATGCAGCACCAATGGCACCATTCCGCAACATTACCGAATAATAACTCTTGACAGAGGTACTTCTCGATAGGTGACATGTTTTCATAGCCAAGTTCTCCAGCCTACCCAGAGTTCCGCCAGCATAGACTAGTATATCGAGCACAACTATGAGAAAAGTTGCTAAGTTGTGCCACCTATTTGGGTATACCTAACCCGCCGTGTTTTTGCGCACTAATGAAACACAGCTGAGCAATTATAATTTAACATGTCACTTCCAGGTTGCCCATGCCTTGACAGGGGGAGTCGAGATGCGGATCTTCCGGTCAGTAAATTCACGCTGTAACCACTGAGCCCATCGACCTAATCATAAGGGTATAGTTGCGGTCTTTTCGTCGTGTTTGGATGGCAAACCATTGTTGTTTCATAAAGACCGAATAATAACTCTTGACAGAGGTACTTCTCGATAGGTGACATGTTTTCATAGCCAAGTTCTCCAGCCTACCCAGAGTTCCGCCAGCATAGACTAGTATATCGAGCACAACTATGAGAAAAGTTGCTAAGTTGTGCCACCTATTTGGGTATACCTAACCCGCCGTGTTTTTGCGCACTAATGAAACACAGCTGAGCAATTATAATTTAACATGTCACTTCCAGGTTGCCCATGCCTTGACAGGGGGAGTCGAGATGCGGATCTTCCGGTCAGTAAATTCACGCTGTAACCACTGAGCCCATCGACCCTAATCATAGGGTATAGTTGCGGTCTTTTCGTCGTGTTTGGATGGCAAACCATTGTTGTTTCGTAAAGAAAACATGACAATCTCATGAGTCGGATCATCTCGTTTTTGCACGACTTCCTACGCTTGAGAAGTATCTCGTCAATTCTGCATAACTCGCTTCCCAATTAAATCGTTCACATGTCGAATCAGCTTAACTGCTTTCTGCCCGAAGCCAAGAACAATTCAGTCCCAAACCAGTTCGTTAACGCTGCAACTTGCATTACTATTTCAGTTTTCTCCCCCAAGTACAGAACTATATTCATTTGAGAATATACACTCATCTGCAAACTAATTTGATCCTTTCGAGAGACTCACCTGGAACCCAGCTGAATCTCTCGTTTATGATGTTCTCATGATTTTCACATAATCCCTACACTGAATCGACCGAGTTGTTGTATCGGAATTTCCGGTCTTGGATTCATTTGACGTGGAGCGAAAGTCTTCACATAGAACGGACTGAATGCGGTCATCAAGCTCTCGTATCCCTGCTACTTGAACAGATTTGCCTTTCAAGTCGGTCAGATTTTTTAGGATCTACTCCTATAGTCAGGTAGCGGATCTCTAACCTGCTGCGTCATACAGCTCTCGAAAATAGGTGGGATGGTCCGGTGATGATGATATTTGGTCGAGTTTACAATTACCACATAGATGCAGTTGTAGGAATGTACAAGGTTGGTATAGAAAATATAGACCCTGTCGATCCATTTGCTTTTCAGCTCCTGAAGTTCGTGAAATAAGAACTTGTTGTGCGCACTTGAAAAGTACAAAATTTTGTCTGAATGTGTTCCTAACTAGGACTTGCGGTCGCTCATCCACCTTAGCTTCTTAGCCTGCTCCACTAGGGAGCGTTTCTCATGAATGTTGTGCTGCTTCCTAATGTAGCTTTTCCTGGTGGCTCCAAGAATTCTTGCACAAACTTCGATTCAAGCATTAATCAGATATCAATGATGTTTCTGGTTGTTTGTAACCCAGAGCCCACTCGATCCGTTTCTTTATTTATCACAGGAAGCTATAAGGTTAACCGAGCAGTTTGGACTGGACTGTACCCCTGTTGTGAGTGCCGTCGCCACTCGCTGTGCGGAACTAGCTCAGCATGTTTCGAGAACTCAAGGGCCTATGCACAATGGATATGGGAATTCGACGTCCACCTCTGGAACACATTCGATAACCGATGCGCCTAGTCTTCCCGGACTATCCAGCGTCTCTTCCTCATTGTCATATGAAGCGGAATTGGTGATTCAGTCTTTGCACCGACTGAATGAGAGCGTTTTGAGGAAGGATGCTTCTGGAGGCGGAGTTGCTACAAGCACTTGGTAGGCTTTTCAGCTCAAAATGCCTCCCATACATTGCTTCTTTTGCAAATTCATTTATGTTGGCTTTATTTCAGTCTGTCGACTTGAATGTTGAGTTTGCGGGTCCTTTAAGAAATACTCGGGTGAGGAGGGTAGAAAGTTAGACGGGTCTCGATTTGAAGTTTGATAGGCCAACTACCATTGTCACATCAATGGTAAATACCGATACATCAACATCGCACCATCAGATTGCTTACCTGAAACGCATTCTCTGAATCCTCCCTTGAGCTTATTTCAACAGATCAGTTTTATCGAGATATTTTCTGGTCGTGCACACACTGCAAAAGGCCGACCGCAAATAGATAGTGCAATCGAATACCAGAGTCTGAACTGCACTCATGTACCATGCGTAGCGACCCTGTTTGGCTAACGTCGAATTTTCAAGAGTCAGTCTGTTCGGCACTTCTACTTGTGTCACACATGTCACGAGTGGTCTAACCAGGACCTTAATATCACTACGAACGCCCGATCACTACGATTGCTTCGGATAGTCACAGGAACTGTCCAAAACGGCTCGAATAGTCTTCGTTTCCCGATACAGCTACACAATCTAAGATGTTCTTTCAAAACCTGAACCTATATTTGGTGCTTTTTCCCTAGTATGAAAATGTAGTAGTTTTAAGATCGTACCGGCAACAATGTTATACATAAGTCCCGATAAAACCTGCAATTAACCACAAGGAACTTGCACTTTCCCTATAAATGACCGAATCATGCTTTGCGGTTGACCATCTTGTGTAGATATTTTGTAATTAATGCAAAATATAGATAGACCAGTATGAACCATAACTGGGATATCAAGCTGTTATTCGCGGAGTTCTTTTAGTCACCAACTCTGTTCGTGCGCATCGGTAAGTTTTTACTAAACATAATCTTCCGCATATCCACCTTCTGAAAGGATATTCATCTTGGTGAGAGGTTTGAGGCTTTCCTACACTTGCAGTTTGGAAAAAAAGGTAAGTGTTAAATAAATATCCGGTTCCTTGAGCTAGTTAGTGCCTGCGAACCCATGGCGCTGCGACGAACCTCACACCTGCATCCATAAAAGCAACAATTCAACATTTCGTCAATCCTCTAGTATAGGCGTTCTGTTGGTGTCTTTGGGATACTGCTTCCGCGTTCCAAACACGCTTCGTTTTCCAAAATGCTTGTTCAGTGAGGCTTCCTCAGTTGACTAGCTTTTTGACTAATTTGTGCGCTCTCAACTGTATCAATCCGGGTTTCAACTTCATCCTGAAACTCAATCCTACTCTGTCTCGTGGTTAGACGCAGCATGCCTCCGTGTTTTCTCCATTTTGTAGAACAGGATTAGCTGAGGGACGTATCCTCCTTTCACTCCTTCTCCCATATTGCTTCGCCTACACTGAATTAGTTCGTAGAATTTGTTGTTAGCTGCTAGACGTCTTATAAAGAAATACCTAACTGTGAATAACTAGCCTGTTAACCATATTCTTCTGACAATATATTTTTGACAGGAACCTGTCCATAAGCGAATTGTACTGGCGCCTGTTGGAGGTAGTCTTGACACGTTTAGATCCGCCTACAGCAAACGCTTCTCTGCGCAGCCTGCACAATCATCGTCCACTAGTGAATGGCGGTGGAGGACAACTGCACCTAATTGCTTGTGAACACCTTCTGAACTCGAAACCTAATCAAATTCATTTGCCTCAGTGGCTTGTCTCTCACCTTGTATCACCCGCCATTGTGACTGCACGACCCGTCGGACTACTTCGGCTTTACATGCGTTACGACCGAGTGGAAGCAGCTTATCTGCTGACAATGCAAATGCTCGACACCGCGCTTACTTCACTCACGGAAGCTTCCACGCCTGGTTTGCAGGTGAGTTGTTGATGTTCTCATATACTGGAGTTTGAACGTTTGCGATGATTGGTTTTTACAGGAGTGTGCTTCCACGAATGGCCTATCGGTTTTATTTGAGGGGTTCCACAGCATCGGATCTGTGCTGTCTCTAACCTGTGTGTCCCCAATACATCGAACTGCAATTATTCATGCATAGCTGGTCTGTATTCCTCGCCAAGTATGGATGTCTGCACGTTAACCTGTACAAATTTAGTCATATAAATACTCTCCTAGATCAGAGCTCGGAAAACGAGCTCATGGTTAGCCATCGTGCACTAATGCAGCAGTACAAAATATTGGCATTCAACTACGTGACTGCAACTGCAGCTCCCTTGGTTCACCTGGAAAAAGGGATGTTTAATGTTTTTATGGCTCAAATTTTATTCCTTGTTTACTGCTCCTGGGTGGTTTAGTTCATCAGTTGGTGCAACCCAGCTCCCAGCCTACCGTAGATGGTGACCAATAACATAATTCTCTGTGGTAAGTATGGATAGCCGTTCCATTTTTGAGGTAATAAACTTGATCGATTCTATCAAACAGGCTTGGCTTTCTTGTGGCATCCAATTTCCACACGTGATGTTCAGGCGTGGAATTTCTGCTGAGTTGCGTGCCTTTGGAAGCAGGAGATAGTTTCAATTACTAGCTGGAGCCGCGAGGGCACCGCAGCTGACCGTGGATCGGGTTCGATATGATAATCAAGGAATCATCACTTTTATTAGAACGCCGGTCCTCTATCCCTCCGACCTCCCTCGTCTAGGCCTGGGCTACTTGCAAGTTCTTCTTCGTTTTGTTTTCAACCAGCAGCGTCCTGAAAAGAAGCAGTCTTAGTTCGTTGCCAGCAAAGGTGACTCCCAATCGGACCAAGATCGTATCGAGGACACTATCAAGTTACGGGTCACCTCTGGCCAATGCCCACAACACTCCGGGTACATTTCAAATATGCTCAGCTTACATACCGGATGCCGTATTTTCTCGTAAATGAGCATGTAGGAGATTAATAGTATATGCAAGGTTGTCAGTACTCACCTTGCAGTTTGTAGGCACAGTAAGCTGTGGTTGCAGACTGATGGGATTCGCATTGGCCTCGTCAATTTCTTCCTAGGTCGTCTGTATCGACTTTCAGCGGTCTTTAAAGACTTGTTTCTCTCTATTCTATTTCGTATCAGAGCTTTTCAAACTTCAACCTATGGTTTTGTTGTAGAGGAGCACAATCTCTCAGCACTTAACGTTCTGATTCAATAAGTGGTTCAGCGATACGAAATTCTCATAACTCTTGACTAAGTGGCTATGCTAAACTATTTTTTTTATTTGAGGCCGCGTATATTTTTTCCGCACTAAGTCCCCATGCTATTTTTGCCATCCAGTGAACTGTTAGGTGGACAGCAGCATGTGTCCATCGTTCCAGTATAATACGATTCATGTTTATGCTTTCTGCGCTTCGGACACACACAAAAGTGGTTGTACTGTGGCTCATAGCACTCCACCTTCATGATATTACCCAGAGGAGGTAGCGGTATTAAGAATGTTGTCAACCGTTGATGCGCTGTTATAGTGGCTGACCTTTCCTTCCATTCTTTTTCTTTGTCCTCAGCGACCGATGTCAGGCTATACAAGGTGTAACTTGGAAAATCAAAAGTTATGCATTCAGCCCATCTGGTTGCCACACAATTTGATTGTTCGTCTTTCGGAAGCGCTACGTTTGCTGTCCAATGATTTTCCAGCCTGCAAGATTGTAAGTTGCGTAGTATCTCCATTCCTTTTCTTATTTTTTCCCGCTTATTGGTCAGTCAGCCGGACGCACCAGTGAATCTCATTGCCGCAATGTCCTTGGGTGATATTCTCGATGTTCATTTCAACAGCTCGATCGGTTCATGTTTAATATGGGCACTTGTTTTTAAGCAGGGCTTGTAAGGACACGTCATTTCTCCGTGTGCATCACAGCCCTTTCTCTGGCGCATCCTTTTTTCCGTGCTGTTTTCTGTGTAGGAAGTAAGTATAATTGTTCAATGGCCTGTGATTTTTAATTTTCACTTCCCTTGATGTCTTTTGAGCATTTCCCATCACTCATTTTCTGCTCCATCGTTTTTAGATGTATGAGAACTTGGAAGAGAATATGACAAACTACTTTGGTCGTCTCCAGCTTGTTTGTTCAAAACTTGTCACGCTCAATTGAACGATTTTCCCAGTGTCCAGCAGATGCATTTTCCTCTTTCTATGTATCTTTTGTATTATAAAATTTCATAAAAGAATAGTTTTAGTTTTCTTACTCAGGGGATTTCTACAAGCTTGGTGTTTGTAAGATGAAGCAAACGGCAACCGGTCGTTTATTCCAAAATTCCGCGTGTTCACATGGGTTGGGAAAATCTGGGAAAAATTTTAAAGCAGTCTTTACCGTCGTACAAATCCTTCGTAGCTCACTGTAAGAGATATCGGTAAGTGAAAATAACACTTGTTGTTGGTGGAACTGCAACGCTTCTCTGTGTCACACATCCTCAATCACCTGCTCTCGGTATGCCTGACTTCAACTTACGTACCTATTATATTTGTTGGCCTGTTCTTGTTGCACAAAAGCACTTAGTTCATCTTACGAATTTGATTGTCAGAATTATAGTTTGCTACCAGAAGTATACAGGTATTGGGACGTGGCAAATTTGTGAACAGTTTTATCAACCACTAACGTGTCAGGTAGAGGGCCGTGTTATACTGTATCATATTTTAGAATACCGTTAAAAATTCACAATATGGAATTGAGGGTTGATGCTAGACGGTTTTCAGCCTCGGTTAAGGGGTCATGGATGAAGGGTTCTTTCCACATGACTGAGTGGGTAAACCCACTTTTCGCAGCATCTACTTTGAATATCCGCTTGAGCTGCAGCCTCGGTTGTATCACATTTGTGGGGTCGGTAGATATGGTGTTTCCGTTTTGACGTATACACCGTCGCCTATCAGTTACACCGAGTAGATCGAATGTCTGGTGCTCAAAAGCACCACGATCTTTCGTATTAATTACGTATGCTGGCGCATTAACTCAGATCTCTCCTCAAATCGTAACGAAACCTTTACAAGCCACTTGGTGAACAAGAAGGGTTCTTTCCACATGACTGAGTGGGTAAACCCACTTTTCGCAGCATCTACTTTGAATATCCGCTTGAGCTGCAGCCTCGGTTGTATCACATTTGTGGGGTCGGTAGATATGGTGTTTCCGTTTTGACGTATACACCGTCGCCTATCAGTTACACCGAGTAGATCGAATGTCTGGTGCTCAAAAGCACCACGATCTTTCGTATTAATTACGTATGCTGGCGCATTAACTCAGATCTCTCCTCAAATCGTAACGAAACCTTTACAAGCCACTTGGTAAACAAATCAACAGCCACCTGATCGAACATAATTACTGTACATTGGTCGCGCGGGTACTGCTCTGTCCTGGTAGGCCCATGCCAAACTGAACGCCTCAGTATCCGTTTCGGCTTCCTAGCGACAAAGTACTTAACAAGGCTAGGGGACTAATGTTCTTGCGTCGCTTGTGAAATGGACTAGGTAAAATGAGTTAAGGCAGGGAAAAGCTCCGCATGGTTACATTCTTCCATTCACAACGTCTACTGTGTTGTTCAACACAGAACTATATTCTTCTTCAAGTTGAAAATCTGTGAATATCGACTGGATATCGAAGAAGGCAGATATATCGTTCCGGTCCAAGATGTTGGTAAACTCGAATGAATCGATAGCCAGTTCGGACCTAATCTATGGGTCTTAATTAGATTTCAAGCTAAGTTTTGATGGTGTGAATCATCTGTGGTCAATATAGGACGAAGGAAAACACGTCTGTAGTCAGTGTCCTTCAAAGTCGGGGAACATAAGAACCCACCAATCTTTTGGGATCTGACATTGCAACACAGAAACAGAATTGTGCGATAGCACACCACTGCACGTACCATCGGTGGCGTGTTGTCTAACTCTGTCTGGTTCGGGCATCCTGGTACCCGACACGATATGCTTCCATTTGTTAACAACCAATTCTGGACGTGCCTCATGGCCTGGCTAGCTTTTGTTTTCCTCTGACGATCATCAGACTGTTGGTGAGTGGAATACTTCATTTGAATTCTCATCGACCATCTCGAAGGACGTGATTGTGAACAAGTCATTGACTTTGAACTTTACCGGATGTCTCAGCAGAGCTTTTGGATCTTGAGATCTTCGCCTTTATTGGGATTCAAGAGACAGGCGGAATTGAACTGGACATGTGCTTTTTGACTTCCAACTTCAGGGTGTTATCCGCTGGACCGTGTTGTTGAACCTTCTGAGTTTCGAACTCCTCAAATACCTTGGATACTATTTTATATAATGTAGCCAGGCACCAGTGCGAAGTTCTAATAATTTCGCTGGCCGAGGCTCTTGCAAAGTGCACACCAGGGGGTCATTAGGAGTTCTAATTCTATTGTGTTTAAATCTACATCATGCATTTAGTCCCAGAAAACCAACACCTTTTGTGCGATATCCATGCTCTGAAACACTCGCCTTTTGACCGCTACGGAAGCCCGCGAGATTATTCGGTGACCGCGTAGCTAGAATGCGTGCATTGCCTGACCTTGGTTGGTATTTCTGGGCTGACTGGATCAACCCTTGGTATCCTAACAGCTGTCGTGTTTGTCCCGCCTATCAAAGCTCCCCAGTTAAGTGGTGCCACGAGCGAGTGAAACCAACGGTTCCCCTCTGTGGTGTCGACTCACCTGAATAAGTGTACCAAGACAGGAGTACTGTTCAAACGCGAGTGAATACGCAATTTATAAGTCTAGCAGCCACCTACAACTAATCAAAAAGTGTCCAGCAGGTTTGAAGCCTTCTTGGCCAGAAAGCCCTGATTGGTTGGTCGATGGATCGACAGGAAAACATTTTAATGGGTCATCATCGGAGTCGTCGGAGAAACCAGTCGCCGCTCAAGCATTAGTATTCTCGCCTGCGTATGACAGCGGAGTAATGCTCGTTTGGCATTTCAGATGTCAGGAATTCAGACCGCCAAACATACTACTGGTTAGCTCTGATGAGATCGAAACTCGAGTCCAGTGCTTCCCTCTTTGGCATAGAGTAATGCTCGTTTGGCATTTCAGATGTCAGGAATTCAGACCGCCAAACATACTACTGGTTAGCTCTGATGAGATCGAAACTCGAGTCCAGTGCTTCCCTCCTTTGGCATAGACTCACCAAAATGATTGCACCAAGACAACAGGAGAGTTCTTTGGATTTACTTTCTTTGATTCCTGTGCGTAGGGTATGGGTTCGAACTCCCTGATGGCGTGTACCGTTTAGTATTTCAGGTAAAAAATGCAGCAATTGTGCACTGGCTCTAGGTCTTTGCACAGTCGTAGTCCTACAGGAGTGGAGCCGATATCTCCTCACTGGTCAGTAATGGCAATCGCATACTAGATTCTTCTCGACGTGGAATGCAGTTGTGCTCTTCGGGATGGGGACCTCTTTTGGTCGTTGAGAGTTTACGGCTTTCAATATTCATGTATTGCACATAAAAGAGGGAGAGAGTCGCCCTCTGCGGCGACCAGTCAGTCTGAGAATTACCGCTACAAACAGAAACAAGAACGCAGGCAGGCGTGTAAGCCACGAGACACGAAAAAAATTACGTAGGTAATAAGACTTCAGGTAAAGAATAGATAGAGGATAGAGGGCACAGATGCTGCTTTTGTATCGGAGCGGACCGTTTGTCAAACAGATTTCGTGAAAGATTGCCCTCAGGCGTATACAATCGCAGCATCCATATGATGTCCACCAACATCTTGTGAGATAGACTCGAAGTAGATTCATCTCAGTTAGTTTAGGTCTACGAGATCCGCATGCCACTGGAATAATGCTTTACTCAGACATATCCATGGGCAAGATTCTGCCACAGGTTATCTAATTTGCTGCCGGGGTCAGGTTCCTGCCGTGGCTAACACCCTTGTGCCATTGCAAACGAGGAGTAGGAAGTTCCTTGTGAAGAGCGTGAGTTAGCTGGGAGTGTTAGGCACAGGCGAATAACGGAGAGAGTTTAAACCCACCTTCGGATTTCTGGTTGTTCCTATCTAGGTTCACTATGTGTGTATTTCCTGTCTCCAAGGCCACAAAACCCATACTAACACTTCGAACATTCCGTAGTGTTTGGCCCACAACGTTTCTGGATCTGATTCTCTGTGACCATTGTTGTACAGAACTAGTCGAACGATGATTTGCAGTCGTCAACCACGTGTGTTCCTAGGATATGTCATCAGGTGCTCCTTTGAATGCACTTTGGGGCTTGAAGTGACTCGCATGGACAAGACAAGTATGAGCCAAAAGGTAGGCGCACTAATAGCTTTAGAACTGTCCCATCCTGTCGGCCTTTCAGTCATATTCCCTCAGTCTTACACCGGATACAGGGCGTTCAGGGGTTGTATGGAATAGAGTCGACTAGTCTAAGGTCTAAGCTGACTCAGCCTCATAAAACTGTAGGTTAGTATCTGAATTTAGTTCATTACGTTGCCCGGAATTGGGAGTAAAAGTAGAATAAGACTGGTTCAATGTCTCCATCAGTTCATCCATTATTACCTAAACTATTCTGAAGGAAGTTCTAAGTGTCCAGCTAATTTGTTAACAAAAGAAATCATCTTTTTTCATGTGGGCTGATGCTGGCATTGCGAAACTCACCTTCAGTGCAATTCGGCCGATGTTCGAATTTGACTGAGAGGAATGGAAACGCGTTACAGCCTGCCACTTGGCTCGCTCAGGAAATACCGTCAGTGACTGGAATCAATCAGATGTACAATTAAGGGGTTGCCAAAGGAAATGGTTGAAAAATCCATATCGTTACAATTATCGATGCTGAGAAAGGCACTGATGTCAGTGGTTGACCAGAAAACAGCACTTTTGTGCTCTAACTTTGACCGTATGGTCAAAAGACATAAGGACTCAATACGTATAGACATTGGCACTTCTACTAACCCACATGTTATGAATATCTCTGCACCTTGTGTTCAGTTTGCTCATTTGAATAGTCCTCGTCCTATCTTGGCCCAGTTATTCTGGCGATTCCACACCACCACACTGGACTCGAGCTTCGTTCTTACGAAAGCACATCTTCGGCCTTGTGTAGGTATGAACTCCGGATATCTGAGATTCGGGGTGAGTGTGTTATCACTACTTCATCAGCGCACGCTGGATGCAGCCGCATCATCACGCCTGAAAAGATGGCGGTTTTGTTCACACTTGAGCGATGCATTGCTGATGGACTTTAGTAAGAGAGAAATTCGAGTTTACTGCTTCTCCCCTTTGGTGTGAACTCACAAGAATAATTTCGGCGAGAGAGGATTAGAACTGTTTAAACGAGAATGATGTGAACGCGAATTCCACAAACCCCACCGACACCTACGACCATCTATACGTGTCTGACGTTCTCAGACTAAATGATTTTATTGGTATAGTGTGCTGTGACAAGCGATTTGTCCGAAATCTAGAAGTTGTGCTTTGGTGATCGGTACGTTCACATCGATGTGTTTTTTTAATTTATTTATAGGGAACCAATAATAGTTCCAATGGTTACATAACCTTTCGGTTAGCGGGTTGTCCTGACGACCATGTGCTCACTAACCAGTTTCGCGTAGCTGCTTATTTGATTTAGAGACTTGATTCTTGTTATAACAAATGCAGTTTGATAAACCAATAGCGACCAGATTGCCCACTGTTACTTTGACCATCGATCCCCATGAACCGGTAGGTTTGGAATTTGGTTGGATGTCATTGTTGTCATTGTTCAAGCGGTTGTTGAGCTTGGTTTCCGACTTGCAAAGGTTTCGCCATCAGTCTAGAAGATATCATGAGTGCGCGATTTTTGACATGAGCCACTAGTATCTCAAAACTGCGCTGATAGGTGTAATGCGCAAGAAACTTGCGCACGTATAGCTTCTTGCACCCATTGGAGTTCTGTGCGGATTGAAGGCGTACTCGGAAAATAGGTGTTCTCGACTTATTCAACTGACTAACTACTTGTGTAACGGTGGGTACTACTGATGAGACATGCGAGTAGTATGTTTTCTCGTAAATCCGCCTCGCGTCTCTGGAATCTGTGGAGCCGCTTTGTAGCATTTGCTTGCATTTGAGAACAGTCAATGGATATCCCGGAAAGTCCAGGGTGACGCGTTTAAGGAGAAGATGGATATTCAGTTTTGTAAACAAGATACATATGAGAGTTTTGCTTCCCTGTCCAATGGTGTGTAATTGTTCAGTTGGTGTTTCTCTAATAAATAACCCCCCAGCAAAGGCCTTCTTCTTTTCACTTGTACTGCATATTGTATATATCTTGATTTCTTAAACATCTTACCAAACAGAGTGTGAAACGTTTGTTTTGCAGTACGTTCAGTTGAACATAATTCGCAAATGGACTTATTAAGTCACGTCTATTTTCACTTAGTTAAACATATTGTTTTTTTTTACTGAGCTTCGTTTGTTGTGAATACCTGGTTATTGATCGAACCTGAAACAGTTGATATATGGTACATGACATGCGTTCCACTTTGTGACACCGCTACCGACCTAACCTAAATTCTCTCGCATGTTAGATGATCCAATCCGTCCCTCTTGTTTATTGAAATCAAGTCTTTATAAACCTTCACATCACCTTTGTATACGATAATTTAGGTGACACATAATGAATCGACCGGATGATCCACGTCTTGGCTTGTTGTTAATCGGTCGTAAAGACTTCGATAAGTTGAAAGACAGAGCTGCCAAAAATGTTGGGCTCATCCGTGTCCCATGTGATGAAGGTGTTGACAGAAACGGTGGACGTGTTGGAGCATGTGACGGTCCTTCAGTGGTGATGGATTTGTTGCCGCGATTCGGAGCACTTGATAATCGTGAATGGAAGATAAATCTGGAAACCGCAGGTCAGTGTGGATTGTCCGTTACGCTACTGCACACATGCGTGTCTTGAAGATATTTGTGTTTACTTTCGGTATCTTCATCTTTTTGGCTGGTGCTTCTGTTCGCAGTATGCAGTGTTTAGCGAGGATCAAGCCGGTCCTTACTAGTGATTTCCCCGAAAAAAGTTACTCTCTTGTGTTCACGGCAGTAATGTTTTTCGGCCTGTACATAACGTGCAACCTTTCCGAAGAGAGGCCAGAAGAGTCGAACAGCGAATCACTCCGTCGATGGTTACTGGCTGTATTTCTGGAGTGCTCGTTCGTAGTTCTTCAACCCGTTAATTCATTACCCTCAGTTCTGTGTACAAGATGCAGTTGTCCCTGACGCCAGCAGTAAAAACAGAGTAGGTGAAACACAACCGTTAAACTCACATTATCATGTAAATTCTTACAAAGTAGAGCCCTTCAGGAGAAGTACTTTGAGGAGAAGCCTGCTTAGGAAGCACCCAATGCCATTATATGTCAGACATGGGTTATTTTGCGCTTCCACCGAAGGTCGACCACTCTTTCACTGAGTCCCTTCGCGATTAGCACACCGCAAATCACATATTTTGACTATTCCATTGAGGTGTTAATACATGCTTCAAGTACTGAGCCTACTTCTATCTATCTATAAACTCACTCCGCGGTGATGCTGAGCTGTGGATGAACAGGAAAGCCCTTTTACAGGAATTACCGGTTTGTGGCAGGTATGATAGCTGAGGATATATTAGAAGATGTGTTAGGATCAGTATCCTAGGGTCACAATCACATGAACCTAAAGTTTTGCGAACACAACGTGAATTTGCTTGATCAATACTACCTATAATAGTCAATACATTGCTCGGTACACCCCTCAGTGACCAACTTTGCTCTGCAGCCCCACAATAGATTTCCCGAATTCGAGTGATGATGTAGTGTTCTCAGGAGAGCTTAAGAAATACCGCCACTGACCCGTTTCTCAAGTCCACCCAGCCGTATCTTCAGAGAATTGTTCCACAACAGACAGCATAGCAACGAAGAATCAGTTGGATTATCTACGATACTCTTTCTAATTAGAACAACATCGCATAACATCGCACTAATGGGTGTATCACATGAATGGGAGAGACTTTTGGATACAGACTCTTTCGCAAAGTTCACTGGTCACTGACTGTGTTTCGGAGGAAATCAATTCCACCAGTTTATCGGCCGCAGGTATTCAGTATTATTATCAATGTGCGAGAACTGAACGATTGAAATGTGCCTCAAAGAACTCGCGGGGTTGCGTTGAAACTTTGAGAGAACAAAAGTTCGTTGGGCGATTAAACCAGCTGGAATATTTTTGCAGTAGTGGAGTACACCTGATATGTAGGAGGAATAATCAAGGAAGTGAAAAAATGCAGCAGCCGACGGAAACCTGTTTACATGTATAACGGTCCAAAACAATGCGGGATTTTTGCTTCTGTCACATTTTTAAAAAATTCGAATCGGGCTTTATACACCACAAGAAGAGTTTTCAAGCCAAAAACGTTATCCGTGAAGTGCACTCATTTACAGATTAATTTGGTTCTAAAAGGGGACTCAACTGAATGTGCTACACAAAGTTTCAACCGATACCATAATCGGGGTATCGCGATACCTTTTCTTGACAGAACAGTTGGATTCAAATGGAATATAAGGTCGACGGAAACCCGGAGATTGCATCTACATGATGGGCTGCAGTTTGGGCTAAACCGATCGTGGTTGTCAAGAGTTTTCAGCAGCTTTATGGGTGGCGCGTTCCGTGGAAATAAAACTGTTAGTCTTAACTATTATAAAATTTTTACCATTTGTTGAATCCCAATCAAATGGACTGTCGATTGGATCGACATTTAAAGTTTCAATAGAGGTCTAACCCTTGGAGTGAAGCCAGCTTGTACTTCCAAGCAGAGGAGCACTGTACCTTTGATTCGTCTTCTCAGTGATGCCGGGTAGACAATATACCGTTCTGAAGCGAGTGACTAGCCACTAGTGTAAGTTACTTGCACCCAAATATGATATGGTATTACTCTTCTGCACTCATGCAGTACTCCTCACATGAACCTCCACAGGACAATCCATCGAATGGTGATTTGTCAGTGGAGACCCGCGTTTTCCGTGTCAAAATAGTTGAATTCCCGCCCAGAAAATTAGTGAATTCCGCGTCTACCCGCGTTTCTCATTTTCGATTGAAATGTCTTGGTTAGTTACATTGTGTGTCCATATTGTGTCCATATTGCCCATTTCTAGGCGATGAAATGATAATTAGTCAAGTTCCAAGTATTTCTTGACATTCAGTGCGTCTCCTGCAAGTAACCATTTATGAGAAGTCGTTTGTTACCGAGTGATGGGCTTGGAATTTCACCCGGTACTTAACGTAAAGCTGGATGAAGAAATTCCCCAGTCACATGATACGTTCTTTATTACAATACGTCTAGTGGGCACGGAGGGATCTGACTAAACATTCATCTTAGACTTCTGGTAGGATTCTGTTCCAAGCTCATGACCTAGTATTCATCAGTTCGGGCGAATAATCAAACGAAGCTTTGTTATCTCCACTTGAATCCCTAGTCCATCGACGCTTTTCGGTAACGCTAACTGAGCGGGAAAACCCACATATTGTTCATAATCCTTACGGTTCTTATCATGTAAATGTTTTTGACTTCCTCTCTTGATTTGCAATGCACTTCACTTTCATCATGCTTTGACTGGATAAGTCAGCTGTACACGATTGTTGCATGTATTTTCAAATCGTCATTTACACCACATACTCCATTTTATGGCGCCTTACGGCATATTCAAGAAAGCGGGAAAGCGCGCTGGCTTCAACTTGTGTGAAGAGCCGGTCGGCACCAAAAAGCCTCCGCTGTGTATTCATTAGTGTGAACTGGCAATTTCCTACCGACTTGGTCGGTTGTGCTTGACTCACACCACTTTTACATAGGAAGAATTGATGGAATGTAGACTGATAAAACCACCCACAAACCTGGAAGCATTCCGAAAATTTCTCCGAAAGCTCAATAGTTAGCTTTCCTTCCTGGAAAACTACAGTTATCCTATTATCTTCCTAGCTTTCTTATAAAGCCGTTTTTCGTAATGCACAATAAGCACGATCTTGAGATGCGAGGCCAATGCGATTTATGGGCTGCGTTTATAAGGAGGATGGCTTGAGATTTCACTTTGATCTTTGTTGCACAAATGAATTCTGTCAGTTCAGGAAAGACGAGAAATGGCTATATCCTTGTTGGGATCTTCTGGCGACCCGAGTTATCCTGATTTGGTTACCAATAGTTTAGAAGTGGTCTGAAGCTAGACTGTCGCCATATCCTAGTTGATCGAGCGCAACACTGAAATATCCCGAGGTCAGATCTACTCAGTCACTATTTTGTAACCATATATTGGTCATGTATGCTACCTTCCAAACCACGGAAAACGTCTAACTGTTCCAAAAGGCTAGAGTAACAATTTCATCGATTTTTTCCAAATCACTACAAGCCTGCTATAGTTTCCACCTTTTTCGAACGTGGGTTACAAGCACTCATGCAAGGTTTGCAAGACCTATTATCTCTCGCACACAAGTGTCTCGTAAATCCGTGTTCATTGTGATGTGCTCATTCAGAATAGCTGGTGTCGCTTCCACCCTAATTTCAAGTGCGGCTGCAATGTGTTCAGGACAAGTTCTGCACCAGAAATACTTAATTGCCAATTTTTTTTCGCATTCTTGGTTTCACTCACTTAAGAGGGTGGGAGGAGGAGGCCTTCCTCCGACTCATCTACCCGAATCACCACATATCCTGAACACTCGATCAAAGCAATGCATCAGAGTTTCAGGATCCATTCAGTGTCCTCCTGGAGCACAAGAGCTGCGCTGGAAGTCACGGTGACTCCTGACGGATTCGTTAAAACAGTCAAAACTGAGAAACTGATAGGATACGAATTACGTGGAATCCTGGGGGACTGTCTGGTGTATTTTGTCTACTGTCACGTTATAATGTTTGTACTTTGCCTCTCCAAAGCCACAAACGATGCCGCTGAATTTGATGGCAGTGAATGTATTCTATACATGCTGTCGTGCCATTTAAGGAGTCTAAAATTACCTCTGCCCTACAGGAATTCAGCTTGTTGATTACGGGTCGACTGGATCTTCAAACTTGGAAGAAGTTCACAACACTCTGAAGGGATTGGTGAAAGACTGCTTGGAGAATCATCTATTTCCTCTATGTATTGGTGGAGGTAACGATCAAAGTTGGGCTAATGGAGCCGCTTGGATTGAGCACTTACGAACCCAATCGGCGCAACAAGATAAGGGTTTGAAACTTACAGTGATCAACATTGATGCACACCTTGATGTTCGACCTCTGATCAAGTTAGCAGATGGTCGCCAGGTTGCCCACTCAGGATCTCCGTTCCGTCAACTGTTGGAAATGGCTCATACGCAAGACGTGAGTTGATTTTTTAGGGATTCTAACATTGTATCTTCCACACTTAATCATGAAGTCACCGCGTCATATCTGCGTTCACTGGTTTGACGTCCTTCACACTTATCATCCATCACTTGATCGCCGGTCTGCGGAGCGAACAAGGTTCCTTTCAACGTAAGCCGTTTTGCAAAATGTAAGATATGTACATTCGGTGCGGTTGTAATGTAATGCCAAAGCACGATAATCTCTCCTCGACGAAAGAACTACGATAGATACCAAACTGTCTTCCTGACGGTGCGTTTTCTCTAATGGTACCATTTGGACCGTACATTCTCTGCACTAATTAATAAAAACTCAGTTGTATTAAAGTGTTCTAACAATACTTTGTGAGTATGTGAGGGACTGTCCCCGGTCGCCTGTATTTGTGGCACAAGCATGCTGATGAATACGGAGGACTTAAAGTTAAAACAATTGGACAAACAGACTCATTTGCACACCAGTTTGGTTGAGAAAGAACATCATAAACGAGAGATTCAGCTGGGTCTAAGGTGACTTTCTTGTAAAAACCAAACAGGTATGCAAATCAGTGTACTCGTCTAATTTCCTGCAACCTGGGTTCAAGTAGAGCATAGGGTTGATGGGAATCCGGGAACTGCGCCTACTGTAAATACGGTTTTAACGAACGAGGAAGTTTCGTACCGTCTAGCCGAGGCCAAACAATTTATCACGATTGTTTTTTCTAGTATGAAGGCGAAAACAGCAACGACTATTCTGATCTCGATACCTGTCGGTAACAGTGCATTTGTTCTTCAGTCCCAGTTTTGACTGTGACATTCTCCTCGAAATGGTGTTGTGCACGTAACCGAGGCCGAACAATGACCGGACCATTCAAGAACTGTGAGGCCGAACAATGACCGGACCATTCAAGAAGAACTGTATAATAATAGTATGCCGTTACATCAGCGGTGTATGTGTGACATCAACCATTCAAAATGGCAGAAACCGACATATTCGAGTCAACTGCATATGACATTTTAGCGCGAGTTTCCCAGCTGGGGAGCAATTCACTCGTTTGATGAGCCGAAAATTATCTACCGATTCTGAGGGATAGAGTTGTTTGTTTTTTGAAGGCATTGCAACTAAAACTGACTGCTTGATGGTGGTGTTTCCTTTGAGGAGTTCCATCATTTGTAGGGTTGGAATGTCGTACCGATACATCCCACTCACTTCACATGGATTGATTTAGTGAATACATGGACCAGTTTGCGTTATTATTTTTCAATGGTCTGTAGTTAGGGGAGGGTTTATGTATCCTTTTGCACCTAACGAGAGGGAAATATACAGTCGGATTCGAAGGAACTCACCCATACAAAATATTTTAGCTTTACTTAAGCCAACAGCTATCACCTTGGTTTAGGACTTGAATGTTGGAACACCTCCAGATCCTGTGCTGACTAAAATTCTATTCTTCGAGACCCAGGCATCACAGAAAGACCAAAAGGAAAAAGCAAGCCCGCGTGATGTGAACAATCTTATCACACAGTGGCCCCGGGTAGAGTAGTTCCGTTCTTCGTGATAGGAGGGTGAGAACAGTTGGGTGATTTGCTAAGGTGTTCGGCTTTTCCAAATTTGCGGAAGCGAAAGCCTTGATTTGACCCGTACATTCCGATCACCCGACGGTTCTTTTCGGCCGCCACCTAATTACGCAATACGGTCCAAAAACTAATATTTAACAAAACGAAATAGGTTTTTGAACGCATCTAATATGTGCAGCAACATCAGAAATCAGACCTGTATGTCTTACTCATTGCGCTGAACAGCCTAGTTGGTCACATTGTTAGGCCGTTGGCTCTGGTAGGGCTAATAAACTCATAACACCTATTTCGTGGGTCTAACCGTTGGATCACAGACTATCGGTATGGTCTGAGAACAAAGTCCCATATCATCTCGTCGCCTTGTGTGCCAGACGTATAGTCAAAGGCACACGGTGCACTATCTCAAGCAATCCCTCTTTTCCGGCCTGATCAACTGCCTGCACAACTAGGAACGAGAGAGTTCGTAAAGGCCACCCATTCCGTTATCTCCCTAAAAATCGACTTGTATCGTATCTCCGGAACAAGCACAGAGACCTTTTTCACAGTAGCGTATTTCAATGCGGTCCAGACCAACTCATCTTGCTGCTTTTCTGTTTGCATATTGAGTGCCCCGTTTGCTCAGCGGTGTAGATATTGCCTTGTGCATGTGAGCCCAGAACGCTTTGTTTACCTGGACTCCTGTGAATTCCCGATGGTGTGCAGTCAAACTGTCTAATCTAGCAAAAACCGCACATAATGACGAGAATCCTGAAATCTATTCGCTTATCCCACGTTCGTCCAACCAACTGCCCCGGTGACTTCTCCGGATAACTAAGTGCATGGTTCTCACCGTATACCGCATAACGACCAAAAGTCTTGGCGCTAAATTTGTCTAACGACATATTGGTCTAAAGATCAGTTGGCTAGAGACAGATCGATCCCGTGGTAAAATGTTTTGCGGTAGATTATTCTGATGATAAATGGGCCTGCGGAAAAGTTATTACGCGTCAAATTCGCCAGTAATAAATCGAATCGTACTGAGATAACCAAAGATGAATTGACGAAGACAAATCCGTTAACCCTGCGGAATGTATCCGGGCTACACGTCCAAGTCTCGGCGCGGATGCCACACGTAACCGGATCAATTGGACTGCCTAGCTTAGCAATGTGTGTAAAACAATTCAGATCCTGGTAGGCGTTCATTTAATCGCTCTAACGATAGATTGATACAGCTCGGCGACAAATTACTTACTGCGCACGATGAACTGCCTGTTATAATATGTAACTTTTCCAAATGCACCAGTAGATATAAGATTTTTCTAATTTGCGGGGAGCACATTTTATCTTGGATTACATCTTTTCCCCAGGAAGTTTACTTCTTCAAATGTCATTTACGTTGGGATCATATTGTGAAAATTTTCAGTCCATTGAATACCTACATGTTGGCCTTTATCTCGGTGTGTCCATGATAGATACGGATACATATTCATGCATAATAGAAGAATTAACGTTATGTATTCCTGAAGGGTTCAAAATGATCGTTCAGTAGTCACCTTTCCTGGCATGTATTTGTGAATATCTGAAGTGCGATGTCTGTTTGCGAATCATCTGATGGACCTTCAGCACCCAGTACACTGGTGTTGGCTTTGTACCATCGGTTTTATACTCTTCAACAGTGCTCGTATTATGTCACACGGTACATTCACTTTCCATATCATTTTTGTTTCGCCCAAACCCAAGGATTTCAAATTGATCGAATTCGCGGCTCAAGGTCAACAGTGTTCAGGTGTGCACGTCGACTATGTGCACAAACATGGAGGTACCGTCATCTGGTTGTCTCAGTTAGCCGGTTATGAGACGTGTACCGAACACGGCGGTCAGCATCCGAAGTCCGTCAAGATAATGCAAGACATTTTGCAAGATTGTGAAGCATCCGGGCGACACGTGTTCTTCTCGTTCGATCTGGACGCCATTCAGGCCGCTGACTGCCCTGGAGTTAGTTGCCCAAGTCCAATTGGGTTGGCAAGCCGCGAGGCCTTGGGATTGTGCTACGTTGCCGGAAAATCTAAAGCAGTGGACCTGATGGACATATCGGAATTCAACCCTCATGTGGAATCTACACAGACAAGCCGACTGATCGTGAATATGATATACTGCTTCCTACTCGGGTATTCTCAACGGTCCTTCTGAATTGGCCATTGTACTGTTCAGAAAGCCAGTAACCCATGGTAGTTATCTGTTTGTCACTGTGTCATCATGCCAAAAAGTGGTATAACTTTAACTCGTGCAACTTCTGTTCTATCAAAGGGTGCTGCATATTTCGAAAACTATATCGAACTCTGACCCAGAATCTGTAAAGCGTAGAGTGTCCTTACCTTAATCTAAGATAGATAACAATGGTCTACCCTGATGAAAGCTTTCGTCAACGACCCTTTAGTCCGAGCAAACGGATGGAGAAGACGAAGGGTTCCACTTTAACGCCAATCGGTGCTTATTATTCCAAATGGTGTTGAAAATGGTGTTGGACTTATGAGCGATTCCGAATGTCTGTATTGATGAACAAAACAATTGTTGGCGCAGCGTAGGTGTAAGAGATAAATACGAACGAAAAGTAGTGCTTCATCTTGCTAGCGATAGAATTTGTCTGCAGAGGATATCAGTTGCAAGCGAGCTGCGGTTCACGAGCCTACATAGGTCGCGTACTATTTTATTTGTCCGTTAGCAGGATTTTCATAGTCAGTCTGTCTGAAGTTAGTTTTGTTGACAACTCAACCTTCGCAACATACTGTCCGGATGTGTGAACATAGCTAATACGAGATACCTTGGCGTTGTTTATCTTGCCCAGAAATGTGCAAATTCAATGCAGAGGAGTGAACAACAGTATTGATATCGTTTCCAAAGGGATTTCATGTTTCGTTTAGTATCGATTGTGTGTCCGCACCTGAGATACCTGCTTGAGGTTGCCAGCGTCGTTTTTGGATGCACGATTTCGGTCATCACCGTCAAAGTGTTCGGCTTTAGTAAGCTTTGCTCACACCTACGTATGCTGTGTTAACTGAGCAACTGAAATGAGCACCAATTAGCCAACAAGTGGTAGAACATGCATCAGTGACTTGCATGTATTTGGTCACGGTTATAAATTGCATACTTCCAGTCCTAAGAACTCAGAGGTGACGTAGTAGTCAGTCAGTCGTTAGTCGCACGTTCCGTCGGTTGCAAGCGGTTGTTTATGGGCCTGGATTCAAGACCGCGAAACAAATCATAGTCACCTGTTCACTAAACGCATATCCTTGATGGATCAATACATTCGGCAGAGAGGTAAAACAGAAGTTTCAGTGCATTTCTTTGGTTTGTACAGGTCAATCACTGTAGCTTGTGGCTTGATTTTAACCTCTCTTTCTTGGTTACTCACTGTGTATCCTTGTCGATGAGCTATCTCGAGTGTTTGGGAACTGTGTCACAACTTGTTTGCATTGTGCATCATTGAATTTAGACTCAGTTTTCTGTCTGAGTAGTTTCATTCGAATTTAGGCAGTCATCGTACTCCCTCAACCTAGGGCAGATTCAGTAGCTTAGCTTGAATATGAGGTTTAGTTTCCCAAAGATAACAAAGGGAAATCCAACAATGCAGTGAATAGAAATGAACTAAATCCAAGAAACTCTGAAGTAGTGGTCAATGTCGATCAGTATGCGCTCGTTTTGGTTTTCGGTTGGACCCACATCTCTGACGGCAACATCCATGCACATGTAGTCCCAAGAAACTCTGAAGTAGTGGTCAATGTCAATCAGTATGCGCTCGGTTTGGTTTTCGGTTCACGCTACATGTAACTAGACTTCGCATTTCATCCCCTTTCAGCAAGCATGACAGTTTCAGTTACGTCCATACTATGACAACAAATCCCCATTCTTTGAGTTCCGGCATTATTGCTTTGCAATGTCTGGTCTACATCCGCATTCTGATGCTCTCCGTACCTTGAACTCAACCTCGTAGCTGTTTGTCATTTTACTCCTCAACAGTACAATCTGAAATTGCGTCTGACAGTTCTCACCGTTCTAATTAGTCTTTTGTTGGCTATATACTCTTTTATAATCAATGCCTGTGTGTGGTTGGGTCCAATGCTGATTTGGAGCAACCCGGAGAGACTCTCCTAAAAATCTTGGACAGTAACCAATAAGGTTAATGACGCTTATTATCGATCGATGACTGAACTGATCGACTCTGGATACATTAGTGGTATATACCGCCGGCTAAGATGGTGGGGCTCTCCCGAGACTCGAGTAAGACCGATTCCATGGCGTTAGCTTACGAGAAAAATCAACGCTACATGAAATATACCATGATATTTCTCTCGGAACGATGTGTTCTTGACTCATTGGGTGTGCAGTACGCGGAAACATTGCGCATAGATAGCTGAGTCGAGGGACTTTCTTGTTTTCAGTCCATTTGAGCGATTGATATCTTTTCCACAGCCCTCTTTGAAGACCTGATAATTAAGAGACCTATGAGACTTGGGTTTATTCATGTCATGTGGATAGGTGCTGCGTGACACTGCGGCAGAGAATGAAGGCTTTTAACGAATTCGACACGCGATCAGTTCTACTGCAGATATTCATTGAGAACCACCCAGGACGAAATACGGAGTGGATTACTGTTCAAGACTAACCACTTCAGCTTTATGGAGGGATGAACCGTTTGAAAAAAAATCACAGGAAGGCAAAACACAGTATTCTGGCACATGATTCCCGCATGGTTTATGGAGCAGATTCAGTGATATAAACACCGATAATGCCACGGATACTGCCAGTGCCACTCTTCTCGTACTACTAATAATCAGTGTAATGATGTAAAGAAAGAAAATCGCTCACCTGATAAGAGATTACTTCATCAACGAAGTTTTATTCTGAGTATTTGTTTCTGCCGGCAGATAGCTCCAAGACTAAATTAGTCTACGAGATAGTTAATCTGGTGCGATTTGACTTTGTTGCGTAGTCCACCTGAATATATTTTGACGGTGAAATTATTACTATCAAGTAAAGCATGTTAAACTTATAAATAACAATTGGATTCGATGGAACAGAAGAGCTCATGTTCACTTCCGAATTCTCCATCTTTAACACCAAGGAGACTGAATCTGCTGTTGCGCGTGTCGTGCATGAATTTGATGGTTGGCTTGAGATGGCTTACACGTTGAACTAATTAGGACGCGACTGCGCCTACCGGATGAGCCCAACAAGGGCGAAACCGGTCGTCCGTTGTCCAAGAGTTTTCACCAACCTTGTGAGTAGTTTCCTTGATGAAAATATACTGCGATATCTCGAATATCGTGCCAACTGAATCATCAGGCGGTCTGTGTGCAGCACATTCAGCTCGACCACTTCATAAACGAGACATTCAATTGAGTCTCCCGTGAAAACCAAATCGATTTGCAAATGAGTGTAGTCCTCGAAAACAGTGCAATTCGGGTTCAAGTAGATCATCAGGTTGACGGAAACTCGGGGACTGCGCCTACCGGATGAGCCCCGACAAGGGCGAAACCGGTCGTCGGCTGTCCATGAGTTTTCACCAACCTTGTGAGTAGTTTCCTTGATGAAAATATACTGCGATATCTCGAATATCGTGCCAACTGAATCATCAGGCGGCCTGTGTGCAGCACATTCAGCTCGACCACATCATAAACGAGACATTCAATTGAGTCTCCCGTGAAAACCAAATCGATTTGCAAATGAGTGTAGTCCTCGAAAACAGTGCAATTCGGGTTCAACTAGATCATCAGGTTGACGGAAACTCGGGGACTGCGCCTACCTGATGAGCCCCAACAAGGTCGAAACCGGTCGTGGGCTGTCAAAAAGTGTTCAGCAACCTTATGAGTAGCTTCCTTTATGAAAATAAATAGGACGCTGTTTACTTGTCACTAGATAGATAGGTTCTTCTATATCTTCACGAGTTTCATGGATAAACTGATACGCTGGTAGTTTTGGGGTGTTTATCACTACATGCACATGGTCCATCGCCTTACGCCCCACTGATCTGAAATTCTCTGCTTAGAAATAAACGCATGTTCTTGGACGGACAGTACACTGAACCCTTTCCGGCTTCGAAAATTGTGGATGACTCCATGTTGGGGGCGAGTGCACACCGTGCAATTCACGAGGGAAATAAGACATACGGCATAAATCTCCAAACTGAGCAGAAGATCAACTTTCTCCACTTAGCGAATGGTTCGGCTAATTCTACTGCTGGTTGGCAGTTCGTTTTGCTAATAAACGGCTTTTTCTACGGGTTTCATGATTTGGACACTGAATTTTTTTTGTATAATTCTCCACTCACCGTGTTGGCAGACTTGCGGGATGCCTGCTTTATTTTGAACTATCTGCTCAAGTGCTACTTTATGAATGTAGATATTGTTTAACCAAGTAGTCGCTTGATACCGGTGATCTCTACCATAAAGTACATGGATATTTATTTTGGGTATTCAGAACTCGTGGCGGGGAAGACTGCCCTTCAGGTCCGAGATCATCCATGAAACCGGAATACGGTGCTGACTTTTAGCACAGCTGGCGTGATACAGCCGCTGATTTTGTGAGTCTCAGCAGATTTCACAGGAAATCTCCTTCAGCGTGCTTTGCCTTTAAACTCTGCCGACAGGGCTGCGTATTTCCTTTGGGAAACAGTTGCATTCCCTTTGATGGTTTCAATAGTTTTGAGACTTTTTAGTGTTCACCTCCCTAGTCTTATCCTACCTTTTATTGTGATGCGAGCTAAGGGACCAACTCTTAATGAGAATTTCACCAGTTTATTTCGTGTTCGGTTTAGATACTCAGCAACCAACTGGAAGGCTAATGAAAACTAGGATCTGAGCTGGTCACACAAGAACTGTCTGCCGAGGACAACCAACAGACGTTTTGTCACAATCCGACAGCAATCGGAACCTCATTTTCGTGTAGTTTATGTGACATGTAATACTCAGCTGACGTCTTACCAGGACCGTTGCTGAATTCTGTCCAATATCCCTAGAACATTTTAGTGTTCTGCATTGGTTTTCGCCAAAAACAATAGGCTTTCGTATGTTTCTGTCCAAGACTCGCTGACTTCCGTTCTCGCTCCGTTTCATCGACTTTGCCAACCACTGAATGAACAGTGTCAGTGGACAATTTTCAACTTTCCCATTGGTCAACATGTGGTCCAATCCCATTAAGGGTTTGTGTCATGTTGAGAAGTGAGTCTGGTGCATGGTTTCCCGAGCCGGTTACACTCACCTACTCCTTTTGGACTGTCGACTGCTAATGAGTAAAGGCCTGGTCTGAGAGTCTTGCGTCCATTCGAGTAGTAAATGTTGAGCACAACGATATCTACTACGAACCGTCCCTCTTCATAATCAATCAAGGTGAGCTACCACGTACTTCCATCATTTCATCGTGTTTCTCTGTACCACCAAAAGTAGTATGAACGCCATGTCAGTAGGATAAAATAAATTCAATGGCGATAATATGCTGAAGAGATGTTCAGTTCGCTTCATAATCATGGAAACGTCCAAAAATTTCACATGCCGTTCGCATCCCCTGATATAGAACGCTAGATTTCCGCACGTGTAGTAGATAAGATCGCAGGTCACCAGTCAGTATCAACTTAGAGAAAACAGTTAATATGAAAAACTGCAACTTCCTCAGATGAAATTCATCCAGTGGGATACTGATGACTCGCAATAACACGTATTTGCGATCTTCTTGAAGGTTTTCTCATCAGGAATATACTATGCGTAGTAGCGTTTTGATGGACGTCAGTGGTTCCAATGCTCCAAAACAAAATCTTTGGCAACTGACAAATCGGAACAGTGGTTATTTATTGATCGTCCTCTGTGTTCTAAGGTCGCTGATCTTCTGTGAATCCTGACTAGGTTTGCGGAGTTAGATGAATCAAGTATTTGCTTGCTCCAACTTACAAACATGCTTCACCTACTTGGAGTATAAAATGGTAACCGTGGAAAGTTATTTCAATATCTGTCCCGATTGATAAGAGTGGTTGAAATACATTCTTGATGTTTAAAATGATCTATCCTCTGTGTGTGCGTGTTTCGATTCTAGAAAGCTCCAAACCTTTTGACCCTGTTGAGCCTGCTCGTGTAACTCGACAAAAACCCACCGTAATTTTATTACTTATATAGTGCTGTTACTCAGCCTATCTGAGTGAAAAGGTCCAGATGTGATGACGAGGACTACGTGTGCTTAGGAATACGTGTGACGCAGCAATGTGAGAGGATCACTTGCGAAGGCAGAGGGCATGCGTGGTAATTGGTCAATTAAACTTCAAACGCCTGCATTATAAATGTATTAGACATTCAAGTCCGAACCATATGAGGGTTGATAATCGATCTTTGGAGATGTAGTTTGGAGAGTGAAGGGTGTTTGTGTGGGGATGTTGTGGGAGTCGGTGAAATGATTGGACGGCTGATCTTTGGTTTCAGAGTTTCTCTCACGAAAGTTCACACTTAAAACAAGGGAGGGGATCATAGGATGCAACTTTATAATAATAGATGATTCTCTGTATCGAAAACACGTGATTAATATAGCAGTCCGCCCTGATTTCCTTGTTATAGATTGTTCACATCACGTATCAACTCAAGATGCCTGTTCTTTTCGGCTTCTCCAGACTTTTTCTTAGGACGGGGTGTCGGAAATAAATAGTCATGACGCAGCCCTCTGTTGTTAGCCAAATTGTCACGTGGTGACTCTTTTCATCGCTTTTTCTGGGAACAGTGAATTCAAGGCTGGACGAAAGCGTCGTTTGATAAATCTATCGGTTGGAGACCGTTAATAAGTTACTGAGTTACTAGGTATTAGTGGATGTGACTGCCATACAGTGGCTTCCTTTGTTGTTGTTTTCAGAGCTTCGTTATTATTATCATGAAGGTATTAGCAAAGTGTCCGGCTTTACTGCTAGATAGTAGATGATTCGCATAAATGTCGGATTCTGGGAGAAACACAACCCTGCCAAACTCACGGCTGTAGACTGAGCTTCATTGTCTATCAGTAGAAGCATTGAACTACCCAAACGGTCAGCTGTGTACAGGTGTCTAGGGTGTACGAGCGGTCGAAGCTCTCGCTTCTTTTGGAAAGCACTAACAAAAATTAAAAAAAACGTGTAGCCTCTCAGTGATGCATTCAATCCCGTGATCTTTGGTCAAGAGGACGACGTAAACTACATAAACTACTAATTTACACCGGCCACTATCACGGACAAATCATTCGATGCGCATGGGACGAACAGGTGGTTACGTTAATCTCGATAATTAGTGGATGCCCCCTAAATTTTACGCAACATAACAAAAGTCTCTGGACATTAGACATATCCCCATCGTTCTGAAAGATTTTTTGGTGAAAAAGAAGATTCTGATTAACTAACAATTGCCGACGATTTTGGAGACGTTGGATGACCTACTGTAGCCATCGACCATTCTTGGTTTCTGTGGTATCTGCTCAGGTGTAGACGGTAAGTTACTGCACAAATTTGAAACAGAGCATTTTATTTCACTGTCAGTTGAAACCGATGCAGCTATTATGTCCCCGTCTTTATTGCTGAGGTTCCTTTGGTCAGTTTTGCTAACAAATGGCTTCGGATTTTACTGTATGCTAAGACTATAGCCCAGAAACACAGCAGCCCACTGTTGCTAGCGACTAAAAGCGTAGATCTGAATGTTCTCAGGAGGTCAGAAAATAGCCAACAACTGTGTGAGTAGCCAGGATAGAGGATAATCTGTTGGTGGTGCTTTATCCTGTAGAATTTCTTCAGGGCAAAAAGAAGGAGAGAATATCGTCTTGTTTTTAGAATCAATAGGATACGACATTATGCTCGACACCGGAAGATTATTCTCTCAGAGCTTCTAAAAAATTGGTTCAGTTTTTCCGGAATTCTCCCAACCAACTGCGTTGGCCTGCTAAGCCTATGCACCCAAATCTTTCTGCCAAAGCCTGGCTGTTTTTACTACATCTGAGAAGGATGTCCTATCGGATAACATAGTAAGACTTCAGCCTTCAGGTTAATTCTTTTTAATGCACTCAGTTAGAATGGTGTGTTACTCTTGATAGTCGCCATCAGCATTGGTATCCGCAACCTATAAGTGGGACTTTCTAGCCACATCAAGACGTACAACTTGACTTTTTTGAGGCAGAGAGAAGAAATTACTACAACCACCACCACTTAAATGACCCGGATGTTGCAACACGGACTGACGTGATGCAGGTCGACTGCAGCACGACATAGTCACATTACAAAAATAGTGAAACTGCGAAGGTACCCTCTTCAGGGATGTTATATGACTTCTTATCAGGGGAGATTTTAAACAATTGGGGAACTTGTTTCTTTGGTGAAGATTTTTCCGTGCAAGTGAAGCCGGTCTATGTTGAAAGTTCTAGAAGCACTGTGCAGATGTCCAACCTTTATTAGGAACCATCAACACTGTGCTACCTACGAAATTCCAGAGAGTTCCAAACCCGTGACCTCCTGGTTAGCAGTTTGAACACTCAACCGTTCGGCCACGACCGACTGATCAGCAGCTTGATTCAAAACTCACAAACCCTCTCACATTACCAACAATCTATAAGAGCAATCGCAATAGCCGAAAGATACTATAAAAAATAGTATATACGAAGGCTTGTAACACATCAGTGCATTTATAAGTAGTATTAATGGGTCTCGATTAAGAGAGCATCTCGAATGTCATTGGTCCAAAAGAATGAAATAAAAACAATTTCCTTTAATGGTTATCATCACCAGGAGCGTTTTGTACATCTTCAGTCTTCTAGCAGATGAAAAGGGACAGGTCAAGTCTAGCAGGGCATCGGTTTCTGAATGCAGCTGATAAACATTTCATACAACACATTTCTTATAGGTGGACGTCGGAGGACAAAATCTGTAATTGGAAAAGCATCTTAACCCAATCGTTAACTTGAACTGGATCGTGAGAGCAAAACTAGCCAATACTTTGAACCCAATATGACATTTCGAAAGTTTTAATATGCTATTCCCCACCCTATACGAAAGCCGGTGGGCGGTAGTACGTTGCAAGCAGCACCCTCCTATCTTTGTTCATCAAGCTTATCTTAAATGCATGATAGCTCTCAACAGTCAAGCATTACCGCACAGTCTGGCATGCCTATCATTAACTTTTCCGTTATTGGTAAAGCAGTATGAAAAACGATCACTCTCATCAGGGTTCATCCGGCCTGGAACAGTGTATAAACAGGTTATTGTTACTACTATCACAATCCTAACTGATTAACTTACTACGTAACTGTCACCGCAGTTTTGTCGCATGGTATTCAGGATGTAGTTTATTCCCCACTTTTTCTCGGCCTCTTACAAGCGTTGATAAATCGTACTTCACATGTTAGTTGAGGTGTGCGTTTTTGTTGAAAATACAAAGTCCAACTTCACCGGAATGAACGAGATACATCTAGGGATGACCGTGAGTCGCAGTTTCCTGCTTGGCGGTCGGATGAGCGATCCCAGTGAGCTACGCGAACGCTCGCTCCGCGTTGTACTTATTCGCTTGAAGCTGGTAAGTAATTCACCACGCCATTGCCCAATGTCAGCCGCATCATTCGTGAGACGTATGCCTGACGTCCGCAGTAGGCCAAACTTTGATATCATCTATGTACCAAAAACACGCTGGTGTCCACTGATGCAAGTCGAACGGCATGATACTAGTTCGGATGACCATATTTCTCAGTCGTGACATTTTGTGGCTGAACTCAGCATTTTCACGGTCTGCTTTACTCATAAATGAACAGTGCAAACTTTGAAATTTGTGTGTTCTAGTTACTTAACGATGGGGAAAACTGAGCATTGGTAAATCATCTATCCATAGTGTAGCTGTATACCAATATAAGCATGTGGACTTGTACAGACCGCTAGACCTGCACATTAACCCGTAATTCATACAACGATGCTAAAACTATTTTGAACAAACTAGCTGTCTTTTCCTAAAATGACTACCACATGACCCTCTATGTGAGGTGCGAATGAGGTTGTTCTTGTGACGACCCACGACGAAAGGGTTGATCAGTGCCTTTCACCAAAAAAGAAGGAACAGATTAAGAACTCTGCTGAAGGAAGTACAAAACCGACAAAGAGGAAGGGTTTCCTCGCATCAGGAAATACAAAGTTACAAAATTTGGCCATTTTCGTTGGTTTCTAAAGGTAGTATATCCAGAGGATGTGGACTTTATTCATTCGTAATGTTGTCATCGGTCATTGTAGCCTCTTTTGGAAAGGCTTCATTCCGGGGAAAACCGAATTGAGTTGACACCATTAAGATAGTGTTAAAATTTAGGACCTTCCTAGCTCGATAATCTGATTGGATAAGACCAACACTTTGTCCAAAACAGATAAGAAAGCATCAGCTGAATCATTCCAAAATGTAACCAGGCAATGGCGGTGCATATATGAAACTTGTTTTTAGACTAATGGACTAGTTACTTCACAGACGGCTATAAAAAGAAAACAAAAGCCTAATGAGTGCCTACAATCTCAGTACCTTTTGATAAAAAGTAAATGTGTTCGGAGTTGATCTGAATAAATGATCTCACATCCGTAATACCATGTAACTTTTCAACACAGTTTTTAAATGTCATTAAACTCCGCATGCCTCCTGCCCTATCGTTTTCATGTCGTACTCGGCGAGGTTAAATATTATATTCCGACTTCTCTGCAATGCATTGTGTCGATTTGATCTGACGAATAGGTTAAATATGATTGGTTCTAAATCAATTGGAAAAGGTTTGGAACCGATCGAGAAGTCATCTTTTCAGAAGAGCTTGATAAACAATCGGTAGTTTTCATTTGGGCAACGTTTCGCTTTTGACACAAAAGCTTCATCGGGTCACCAAATTGGCCAGGTTATAAGCGAGACTGGGAACCAATCAGTATGTCCTCTTCAGGTTATCACACTAAATCAGTGTTGAGTGTCAATTAAGGGCTCCTGTTGGTCAGTGTGATTGTCAAAATCTTGCTTTGGTGGACTGGGAAGTTTCAAATTAATTCTGATTGGGTTTGGTTCGTTAATCTCCCACTTCAGGGCGCTTCAAATGATGATTCACCTCGGGTGCCACCGGTAGATTTTCCTTGGTCTTTGTGGGGTTATGAGTGCTCCGACGGTTTAGTTTGAGGTGGGAGGAGAGGAGGTCAAGTGGTATTCAGATGATGACTACCCTTGCTTCTGATGACCACACACCAACATGTGTCAGCTCAACTGATCCAGAACCATTTTCCACACGCTTGCCAGTTCCACGCCTTCTATTCTGTCAACACTGGGATGCATAGCGATTTATACCGCCTCGGCTATCAGTCTCTGTGACGTGTTCTGTTAAACTGGAACCCAACTGTGATAAAAAGTGTATATTTGTGATGTACTACTCATAGTTTGCTGAGACTCCGTCGACAGCCCACTACCGGTTTCGCCCTTCTTAGTGCTCATCAGGTAGGCGCAGTCCCCGGATTTCCGTCAACCTGATGTTCTATTTGAAACCGAATTTCACGAAATTAGCGAATATATACTCGGCGACTAATTTGGTTTTCGAGAGACTGACGGTTTAGTTTGAGGTGGGAGGAGAGGAGGTCAAGTGGTATTCAGATGATGACTACCCTTGCTTCTGATGACCACACACCAACATGTGTCAGCTCAACTGATCCAGAACCATTTTCCACACGCTTGCCAGTTCCACGCCTTCTATTCTGTCAACACTGGGATGCATAGCGATTTATACCGCCTCGGCTATCAGTCTCTGTGACGTGTTCTGTTAAACTGGAACCCAACTGTGACAAAAAGTGTATATTTGTGATGTACTACTCATAGTTTGCTGAGACTCCGTCGACAGCCCACTACCGGTTTCGCCCTTCTTAGTGCTCATCAGGTAGGCGCAGTCCCCGGATTTCCGTCAACCTGATGTTCTATTTGAAACCGAATTTCACGAAATTAGCGAATATATACTCGGCGACTAATTTGGTTTCTCGAGAGACTCTCCTGGAACCCAGCTGAACATCTCGTTTGTGATGTTTCGAGGCAACTGAATGTGCTGCACCAGGCCGCCTCATGATTCAGTCGCTACGATATTCGATAAGTGGTTTTCTGTGAGTTGTAGCACTTGTTTTCCCCTTTTAAAACAAGCCGTTCCAAATTTCACAGTACCTCTTTGTTCTTTTCCTCTCAGATAAATTCATGCACTTAAGTAGAACAGTTGAGATTTTCGGTCTCTTGTCGTGGCATTTTCAAGGGGAAAATACAAAGTTATGCACTCACAAAGGTACGGCTCTCAGAGAATCATTCATAGATTCATTCTAATTCTTCTGACACCCATTCTGTTTTCCTTCGCTGTCTTCTGCGTGAGATAGTGTGGATGGTTCAAATCACAGTCCCATGCACACAGCCCTCAGCAGCACAGCTGTTGAATGTGTCGACTTAACGATTGTTGCATTACCGTTCGTGGGAGTTACTCTGATTGAAGTGGTGCTTCGTATGTCGTGAGGGCTCGCGAGATATGTATTGTTCGCATTCACATTACTCGTCTGAATAGTTGTCCTCCTGTCCTGGCGTTTTCGTTCTTGTTTGTCCGCACCATAGGAAGCAAGCACAGGACTCGCGTTCCGCTCTTAGTAGAGCTCATCAGTAGTACGTATCCTTGACCGTGCTAGGTTTTGAACTCCAGACATCTGACATGCGAGGCGAATATCTTACCTTCACTCCACCAGCGCACGTTGGACGCAGGAGAATTTTCACTTCTGAACTTCATATGTTCTTTGCAATTTGTAATACTTCTGAGAAGAATTCTCCAAACTTCCATAAATGTGCAATGTAATCCCTACCGAGGTAGTCGGAGAGAGCTGTATGGTTAGGGTGGTGTCAAGAAATCAGAGTCATCATAGCACAAATGCTCTATTTCATCACGTGATCGATCGCGTCTACGATAGTGTGGGAAAGTTACAGTACTGGTTGCCGGTTTTCAAATATCATTTGTGGATGCCAACTGGAGTGATTACCCAAAAGCAGTTTCTGTTGAGAAGCAACCTATTAAAGACTGAGTAAATTAATTTTCATAAAAAACAATATTGCAATGATATTCTGGGCGACAACTGAGTGGTTCGTAGTCTCTGTTTTTGCACACTGACAGTTGGATCAGTTCACAACAGTCACAGTTTTCTTCGCGTTGCAAAGCTTTCCCAACGGTCACTTTTTTAGTTCTCGTAACGTCCATTCTTTCTAAATGGTTGACGTGTATCCAATCCCTAATGGATCATATGGAATGCCGTCCAAATGGGTAGTTTGTTATAATCAAAACACATTTGTCGGAATCCCCAGAAAGCGCTGTAGCTCCTTGACACAGTAGGTCTTCTATCGAATGTTTACGTGATTTCCTTTTGTTAGTCCACATAGCCGTTTCTCTTCAAATGCAACTTCGCGCGTCGTGCAATCAGCTGTTGGTCATCAGAACCTATGTTCTAGTGTCATCAGTCCCTTCACCAAAGAAATGTCTCGTTGCCAGTGTGCTCTCTTCATTCTTTATTTTGTTCTGGAACTTCTTTGGGAACAGCAGCCCAGTAGGAAACCGATGATCGAGAAACAGACATCTATCCAAAGTAATATTACCGTGACCAGTTGTATTCCGTCTAGCAGTACAGCATGCAGTCTCGGCTGCTATCCTGCATAGACGCCCCGTAGCAAGTAGCGTCGTTGCCTACCGTTCTTCTCGGTGCTGCTCAACATACCCTGAGGCAGGTGATGAAAACACTGGCTAAAACAAACGTAACCTTTCGTACATGGGTGAATGAATATTTTGTCTTAAATCCATTTTTGCAGCAACTAATTCACACAGATAACGAAATTCCGGTGACTGCCTCCAAGCCAACATATCTTTCCGGTGTATCGTGTGTAAACTTAATTCCTTGGTTTTTGATTAAACAAAAGATATTGTCCGTCTGGTGAGATTTGCTGATCCCCTCGCAGTCGATATTTTTATCTGTTGTTTACCAAAGGTAGCAGACGTGTGGTTCGGAACAGAACACATTTTTCAAAAATTATTTATGGGCTGTATTTACATCTTTTGTTCACTGTGCCAGCCCAGGTTATTTTCCTCTACCGTTCTAGTTTGCATGTTGAGGGTCTACATGGGTGTTTTGTTTGGCCTCGCAAAAACCAATAGAACATATTTTCTACGTTCGATCGAAGGATTACTTAACAGTGGTGAGGATTTACGTTTCACTGACCTAGGATCGAGTATTCAAGAGTTCTTCTGGATAGCCTGTCGATATTCTCGTCATGGTTTGTAAAGCAAACTTGACAATTCACACACTTTTTAAAAAAAATATATACTTGTGACCATGCCGCACATTTCCAGCTAAAGATCACGTGACGTATTCTGAATATTCGCAGTTGTAGCCGGCATCGCTGCACACTTTATTAAGCTAACTCAGAGTTGAGATGAAGAGAAAAGGAGTTTCGCAAGTGATGTGGAAATGTCAATAAAAACAGGGTATTTCAAATGCCTCACCGAATTTGTTGGAGTTTGGATTTGTATGACTGCAAGGTACCACATTAGATGCGTCCTCATCCTTGAGGCACCATTGAACACGGCAATTTAATGAGCCTATCCGAGTCTGTTCAAGTTTGCGTGCGTGATATTGCACTGCATACCGGTCCGTATGCACTATACATTTATCCATCAAATGACGTGCTATTGACGCTGCTTTTGTAGGATTTACCGCTCGCACAATGGAATTAATCAAGGATAATGGTAGGTTTCAAACAACCAGCAATCAAATTGTTACATCTGACATGCAGTTCTGTCATGTCTCGATGGGAGACCTTTGTACGGCCCAAAATCATCTTCAGCGATAAGTATTTTAGTTTCGATAGGCAAGATATGTATGTGGTTCTAATCAGAGTGAAGATTTACCTTACATTGCTAGCAACGTTGTTTTGTCTTACGATTATACAGAGTTCATGCTCGTGTTGAAACCTGTTCTTCTAGTTGATCAGAATCATTCCAACCACGATCAGCTCAAATACTTCTCTCGATGGATCACTACCTTACAGAGCAGCGATCTATTCTGCTGTTCCATACTCATTGGTTGACCTATTTATCTTCGGAGAATTGGAAAATGCAGACGCAACTCCCGGCGCCAAAATTATGGCTAATGTTTACTGCTATGTTTAAGTTATGAAAGGAACTTTCTAACAATTAGATGACTGTGCTGATATGGCAACTGTAACAGTGATGCATTGACTGTTGTGTTTTTCATTTGAATGCCATGGCACCGCTTGGTCGCCGGGAGCTACCTAGTGAGATGGAAGGGGAGGTTGTCAATCCAAACAGCTGTCTTGAACCGCAAGCCACCAGTCAAGTTTACCAGCTGCTTTAATCCTAAATCTTTTTTTGTGTGAACCTATTCACTAGTGCGTATCTGACGAAACTCGAGGAATTTTCGAACCCGAGACCTTCAGACCAATAGTTCGAGCATAGGATTCAAACTGGGCGTACCACGGATAAAAAGTAGCTTTCTCAGAACATGTTGGACCGTACGCCTAGTTAGTTCCATTTCGTCTCTTTGAATGGATAGGGTGACTGATATATTCTTGTGAAATATCGAAAAAAAACAGTGGTTGTCAATGGCGTTAGTGGGATACCCAGCTGAATTTTTCGTTTATTGTATTCTTTAGTAGAATGCCTGGCTGAAAGGCCGCTTGAAACTTCATTTACCACGATGTCTTGGAAATCTTGACATGTTTTTTATATGAGACATTAGCTATAGTGTTGCAGAAAAGTCTTCGACAGCCTCTTGCAAGTTTCAGCCTTCGATTAGATTACAAGGTTGACGGGCACTGTTACACCTAGTCAAAAGTACAGTGGTTAGAATGAAGGAATAGTTCTATTTAAGCTACTCTAGCCAAAACATGTTTGACCTAAACATTCTTACAATGTGTTTGGGTCTTCTCATATCTGTGGTACAGCGAGACGACGGCCTGTTGAATCCTGAGAGGATGCTGAATAATTGTGTACTGAATGCTTGGAGATCGTGTGCTAACTTATCGGAGTGGATAGGAGTAGACAAGTCTTCAGTAAACTAGAGAACACAGAAACATGTGACCACCAAGCTCTCCAGGAGCCAAACCAGAAACTGCAACTGGTACTTCCATTCGTTTTACCCAACTGAGGCGGAGATAGTTGACTTGCATTTGACTGCCAGATGAGTGATGCTTTACAGAAAAATGTGCGCTATGTTTTGTTGTTTTGTTTGGCAGCGCAAAAAGTGAGGAAATGAGAAAAAGCTGCAATGATTAATCGAAACTACTTGTACAAGACTGGATAGCTGACGGGTAAACCCCATTAACCGAGTTTTTACACCATATCAATGGATATACAGGAGCGAATGACAGTTGTCACTTACAACGGTATTGATGCCTTTCCAACAGAGATTTCATCCTGAAAATAGGGCCAATCTACGATAAAGGGCGAATCGTCTGAGGTTATCCTATCCAAGCGCCACCTTAATCAAGCCTACGATGTCTCGGAGCTATAAAATATTTTATCGAATGGGAGTTGCATCTTTTCGTGTAACTGATTTTGCTTTACATTCTGGTGTTCAAATACAGAACCCAGAACGGCAGCATGAGGGACAAACACCGATGATCGACAAGCTATAAAGATAGTATGATCTGATGTTGCTTAGTGACAACTATTGACGATCAAACAAACGCAACTTCTTATCCTTGTAAATAACTTGTAATATTTCAGCATCTGTTGTTGTTACTGGACAATGATGAATCAACGTAAACATAGCTGACTATGACTTCCATTTGCTTGCATAGACTCCTCCATGCGGATGGGATACGCAGATATGGATCAGTGGGAAAGCAAACAGGAGAGAAAAGCCGCGCTTATGCAGAAAATCACAGGAAGTTTTGGCAAAGTTCGAGGGTGTTTCGGAGACAGGCGTATGATACTATTCATCGTATTCGTTGCTCTTTTCTTGGATAATATGCTGCTAACAATTGTTGGTAAGTCTCGTCACGGTTTATGGTCCAAGCCAAATGTTTACATCAGCTGTTTCCAATGTTTTCAGTTTATTCATTTTCTCCTAGCACCTGAATATCTTGGATGCGTATCTACCAGCTGTTTAATTCGCCTGTGTATTAATACTGGCTTTATAATTACTAATGCGTTGTTCGCTTCAGTCTCAGAGCTGAGACTAGTGTTCGTTCTGAGACATCAGCCGCTTTAAATGGTGCATATCAGGGCGGGTAAACGTCGGTAAATTATGAAGTTTATTCCGCACAACTTGCTGAACTGCCGTGCGTACATGCTTGAATTTAACAAAGCTGAGGCCTCGAATCTGTTGAAAACACAATTAATCCCGGTACATTCAGTCAGCAATAAAGACCTACTTATTCCTTCTATTCACCGACAAAATAAGCAAGCTTTGAAGCGTGTTAATACTACTGCCCAGCTATGACCGTTATCTACCACCAAAGGATTTGCTTCTCCCAAACGTTAGTCTAGGCTGTCCAATCTCTCTCTCTCTCTCTCATGTACCCTACAAAGTCTGACTGACGGACTGACGCTTCCATCGGCAGGTCAGACTTGCGGTATAATACATGCCAAAGTATGAAGTCTAGATGTTGTCAGGATAGCCATCGTGTCAGTGATCAGAACCGAGGTCAGCCAGACATGTGTTGGATACAAGTCACCGGATGGAGGCGATGAAATCCTTCTGAACCCTGTTCAAATGCTGCTGATCAAATCAACTCAGTCCCAATTATGGTCAGTTCGGCATTGATCGTTACAGGAGTTAACCAAACAGTGTCTCTCCAACATTGTTTCTGCCCTGTGTTTATATAACTTTTATGCTATGCGTTCGCAACTGAAGAGAGTACAGGGATGTTAAGCAGGAAGCAGATGTTGTGTGAAGGATTTTGCAGTGAACCCACCGACGTAATGCAAACTGTTGTCCTTTAGGGTGTCAAGCTAAATCGGGGTCTATTTGAGTGAGTAGTCAAGCAGAGTTTCTTTTCTGCTACACTTCACTATGTGTCTCAGACCAGAACGGACCACTTCGTGATGTTGCATGAGCGAATGAACTGACAAATTTTGTTCATGTGTGTCCTATGCTGCAGTCATCCAAAGCGGATGATCCAACTCGAAGCAACTCAGGATACCTGGTGAGGACTCATATTGGGTTCGATAGCCTCAGGAGAGAAACGCATCCATTTTTCTACCGGTCCACTTACCACTGGGCGCAATAGTTTGGCTGTAGACAGCGGAAACCATTGCAGTTGATAATTAATTAAAATGGGGTCACAACATGCGAGGTGACACAAATGTTAAAAATAAGTCGTCCATAATACAACAAGTGGATAATAAACTGTGAAGGAATAAAACCTTACTTAAAAATGGTGACTGATGAGTCTGACCAACGAAGAAGAGAGTGAGACTTTGCTCAAGGGACCTGTAATGAGACAGCTGTCTAAGCCGCACGAGGCTCGTCCAGCCTGAGGAGCTGGGACATAAGGCATAAATGTAAGGTAGGTGATAAAATCGTCCGTTATGGATACGTTGTAAATCTCATCAGACTAAAATTTTTCAGGCAGATGGTACAATGGGTTTACCGGCTGATCATCTCGAACCTTAGGAGAGCACATCAATTCATCAAAGTGTCTTTCTGTAAGGATGAAAAAATGTGTGTGGACAATTGGTCTCAACGGAAACAAGAAAGCATGAGTGCGATTTTTGCACAGTTCCCATCTGATAACATATGAATAAGATCATTCAGACAACTATGAGTTCTGTCAACACAGAATCTGACGATCAATAATTAGACCGAATAGAATAGCCAAAAAGCTTTAATGTCATCATCATTAGGTCAAGGCATCAATGATTTATACGAAAACGTACAGTTGTAGTTTGTGTTTTGTGGTACACCCGGAAGTATGTATATGTAAATGGATAAAAGAGTTCAGTAATTTTGCTCGCAAGAATCTATTCCATTGCAAGTTGTGTGTGGGTATAGTTGGACTGAATTTTAGCCAATGCAAGCATGAAGATAGTTTCAGCTCCTTCTGGACGGAGTGCCGTACGGCTTCTGTATTTGATCGGTCAAAAGGTGTCCGATAGTGGATGTTACCAAAAGTAGTCTTTCCTTTTGTTGTTGTCACTCTCGCGATTGTCTTTTATATTTGTTGTTCTTAGCTTCAACGTGGTGGGATTGTTCTTCCGTATTCGTTGTGACAAAAGTATCGTCGTACAACCGACAAGCAATCCTCGATATAAGCATACAAATGAGCATATGGAAGAGCTGATGGAAGACTCCGGTGGCTTGACTATCAGTCCGGACCTGATGACAGGGATAGGAACTAGCGCACTCAAGCGTACATTGGTGACTTTATTGGTGGGATCGGTCATATTCTTTACCCATCTGGTATTCAAGGTATTAAGTGAATCTACTTTAAATCTGGGAACAGATCCTATTCATTGAATGCTTCGTAGGTTTTATTTTCGCAGACCGCAAAATTTTCACAATGAATCGTTGTGGATAGCCATCCAGGAACTAGCTGGTTACCTAGTCATTTGTTTTAATCGGTTATTGGTCTCATTCAGGCAAGTTTGTTAAATCGCTGGTTGTGTAAATTGTCACATTATCCCGAGTAGCCGGTGGGTTATAACGAGAAGCGTTTTACGAATCAATAAAAAATACGGTTTACTGTAAACGCATGATGGAGTCAAAACGTAAGTGGTATTCGTGTATTCAACATTTAAAGTTTTATTAACTTTACTGCTAGTCTAAATGCTTTTGCGAAATCTTTAAAAACAATAACGAAATAATAAACGGCGATTTGTGACAAGAAAGCGAACCAATGAATAAGCAGAGGGTTTAAACCGGCAAAATTCGGCTTCCCAATAACCATAAAATTGCAGTTTTTGTCATTTTGGAAGCAATATTAGATCCATTTCTCTCGAAAATCCTCATATAGGAGTATTAGCTACGAGCTTTCAAGGTGTCAAGTCCAAACCGTTTCTCAATTTACTGACAGATTCCGAAATCTGTCATGATCACTCTACTCTGAAGTGACTACTCTTATGGTAAGTTTGCTAAAGTATGTGCTAAATTTCAAGACCCTCCTGTGACCACTTGTCAGTTTAGATTATCGGTAAAATCACTGGCGATAATAGATGCTTGTCAAAAATTGAGTTCATGAAGGGGTTTCTTTAGCAAATATCCTCCTCAACTTTGTAGATACTTTCATTTAGAAGAGAATGGACCAAAATTTTGTATCTGATATCATGTAACAGTAGACTAGGCGGCACAAATACTTTGAATTATAAAGACGATTCTAACTGAAGTGACTACTCTTATGGTAAGTTTGCTAAAGTATGTGCTAAATTTCAAGACCCTCCTGTGACCACTTGTCAGTTTAGATTATCGGTAAAATCACTGGCGATAATAGATGCTTGTCAAAAATTGAGTTCATGAAGGGGGTTCTTTAGCAAATATCCTCCTCAACTTTGTAGATACTTTCATTTAGAAGAGAATGGACCAAAATTTTGTATCTGATATCATGTAACAGTAGACTAGGCGGCACAAATACTTTGAATTATAAAGTACGATTCTAATGGATTTGATCATGGTTGGCCCAAGCGCACGAGTAATCCGAATGTGCGTTTTTTTATTTGCGTGAACGAATCTTTTTCCACATGTAGCCCAAAACACAGACATCAAGGACACATGAACCGAAGTTCGTGTACCAAATCAATGTATCATAAAATTATTCATTTAAGCAAGTACCAATATTTGTCTTAACAACACATTTTCCGTCTGCTTCCCTCAGTACCCATAATTCCAGATTTCCTCATTGATCAGAGAGTGAAAAACAAATCAGCTGTGATTGCCAAAGTGTTGAGTGACATAAATGACAGTTGCCTGGAGTTTTTACATGAACCCGAACCTGAAAGCACCCTAAGGCGCGTGCCAATTTACGCGTCCAGAGGACATTCGCCACATCAGCATTTGTCAGTCTATTTGGAGCAATTATTTGAAAAGGAAATTTTTCACCGAGACGCCTACTTCAATATATACGGACTATCCTCACAAAACGATGGTCCCAATGGCGAAAGAAATGCTACACGGCCTGGACGAATTTCCGAACAAGTGGAATACTGTAAGGAAAGTGTGAATCAGAGCATCCACCGGTTGCGCCGTGAAACGGCTGGCAATGAACATATTCAAATCGGAGTGATGTTCGCCTCAAAGTCTGTAGTGCAGCTGATGGTGAATCCCTTGGTTGGGCCATTGACCAACAGGTAAGATATATCCACATTCATATAAAATATAAATGTTGGAGCTAGTAATCCTCATCAAGAAGTTCCTTGTGACTGAGGGCAAAATGTCAGTCTTACAGGGCTGTTAATGTGCTCGGGTCATTTTCAGTCCCATGTGAAAATATTCTGCCTTTTTAAATGAAAAATGTGGTTGGCAACTTTTACTGAACGTTCATGTATAAACTGGAAGGGGGAGGGAATGGCCTTGTGTGACACACAGTAATATCTCATAAGAAGTTTCAAAGGCTAACAAATAATGAGTACTTTGCTCAACTACGTGTAAGTTTATCCTATTCGCTTCAGCTTCTCCTTACGCTTATGAATCGCTTCTCTTCCAGGATTGGTTACAGCATACCAATGTTTACGGGATTCCTGATAATGTTCGTTTCCACCGTTGGTAAGTAATAATTCCCCTTAATTTACAAAGATCTGATAATGCGATAAACATTTAATTATTTTTCCAAACTCGATAATTCTGTTTGCACCGACACCTCTAAAAAACGTCAGATGGTTTAAACACCATCATCACTGCACTCAGACGAATTTTCCATATGTAACTGTGTTTAGTCGTTACCTAATTTCTACATATTAACACCGGCTTTTGATGATCAGAGCTCCATTTATGCGCATGGTCCATCAGACAGCTGGAATCATGGTGCGCTCCAAGGACGACTGAAAACGAGGTATCAAAGTCTTTTGCTAGGATTTAGTTAGCGTCTTTGAAGTAGTGTAGCACAATGCGACATCCGAAACATTTATCTGTATTCGTTAGCGAATGTTCATTTAGGAGGGTTCGTTATGCAGTTTTCTACTTTAAGTTTTCATGGTGCAAGAAGTTTAAAATAGTGATATCTATATCTGTCTAGTTCGTGAGCGGCTACTTTCAAAAGAATCCAAAAGCGCCACCTTGGCATAAGAGACCCACTCAGAACAGTCTAACTTGCAGCGGAGGCTGTTTGAAAAAATCTCCTGAGAGAAAAGTGTACAGCTTTGCCTGTCTAGAACGCAGACCTTAAAAAATAGATTTTTCTGGTCGGTCTTTTCCAACGGTCTTCATAAAGTCATAAAGTGCAACGAAGTGGTCTCAGATGCAAACACCGCTTAAATTAAATCACAAAACATCATTTCCTTAGCTTTACTGCCTTTCCCAATAGGGTTCATGGCATTCGAAAAAGAGAGGATGGCAGTAGTTATATGTCATACGGATGAAAATAATGTCAGGGACCACCAATAAGTTATGGCAATCAATGCTCTATTCATGCTTTCACCAGGAGACGTATGTGTCATAAAAACACCTTAAAGTCCATTAGGAAAACTTTGTATTGTGACAGCTGGTAAAGCACCATTCCCATGTACGAGGCCATTGAAAACGGCCTTTGTGAGGAGGCGATCTTTTGAGAATTATGGATTTCAAACCCTACTGCATGAGACCGGAATGAAATCCTCTTGATTTAACGATGGTATCTCTTGGAGCGGCTACTGTATATTTACTGCATGGATATTTCTGAGAAACTGTTAACCAGTTTTGTTTACCAAAATGCAGACTTGAGTTGCCATGCTCACAAATTTCAGACAGATTTTATTGCATTATCATACAATGCACTATTCATATTCAGCTTCTCTTGCTGTACTCGATTTGTGGATCATATTTCCTAAGTGTACGCAAAAATGAGATTTCTTCCTCTTGTTTGCTGTCAAAGGACTCTGTATGCGATCAGTTTCTCGTTACCAGAGAAAGGGTTGATAAAACGGTATGTTAACCAGATGCGCTGCGAAACAGTCAACAACAGTTGACCCAGTTCCGCTATGTCCGGTAATAAACCAAGTTCACATGACTCTTAGGACACCGCAGTGGGTTGTTTAAACACATCTGCTGGTGTGTATTCGGGTTCTTGCTTGGGGAGATGTTGTGAATATAAACAAATTCAATAGCCAGCATACCTGTCTCGTGCTCATTTCCGACGTGTGTTCGGGCATCTGAAGGCATCCAAACCTTTAAGTCACTTTTCAGAATGATTAAACTTGGGGCCAGCATCACCCGTAAAGCGAAATATGTCATCAGCAGTATTCAATGTATGAATCTATACTCTTTATGAATCTTTGTTGACATTCGAAGAAAATGTCTCAAAAGGTATTGGTTTCCAGCCTTATCTCACAGGATAGAAATACATTGGTATTAGGTGGGGTAAAGTTGCATCCTCCTGAGATGAGCTCACTAGAGAACCGCTGTACTTTATATCGCCTGATATGGTTCTTACTAAATGAACTAGGGGCGAATTTCTTACCAGTGTTTGTTGTATCATGAGCACACCATTTAGCAGTCACCTTATATTTTTATTGGTGTAAACTGCACTAAATAATATGAAAAAATCATCATTATCATTTAAGTTACTCGAGCGCTTAGCACCTAAATCACGTTGTGGAGTATTTAACAACATTGTAGACCCTCCAAGGAGAAACTCTCCGAAATGAGGCGACTTTTCTGGACAGTTTTAAACCTGATCCGAAGAAATCCCCCCTGGACGAGAGGCTACAAAGCCTCTTCCCCATGATATCCCTTGGAATCAAATAGACCTTCTAGTACGTTGCACACTTACTTCAAGCGGCAAACATTCCGTACGCCGCAGACATTTCACAAGCATGCAGAAGCCATTCATTCGTAGATGCAGTGTTTATTTTCCGGGGGAACCGTGAAATTCCATTTCACCTTTTCATACTTTCCCGCTCTTTCCTAAAAGAAAATTCAACAAATACGTGCCATGCATTCAAATGTCTGGGTTTGAAGGAGTTTACGATCCCCGTAACCGTAACCTTCTTCAGCCAACATCATAACCTTGAAATGATCAGATTCTGCCCTGTTGCTGTTTTGAAGATAGGACACTTCCTAATCAACCATTTGAGTCATATAAATCCCTCACTTCATTTTATGTATCGTTTAAGGCCAGCTTATCCATGATACACTTTCCCTGTTTGCGAAAATCTACAACCCATCTAAATCAGCATATACATAGGTTGACAAAACTGCGTTAATGATCCATCCCCTGTATATCCCAAAATTGGACAGACAGAGTTGACTTTTTAACACGAATGGACCACCAAATAAAGCATTATCCAATCAGAAGTAGCATTCCAATGAAATTGTTAAAGGTATTCATTTGTAGTTATCAAATTTCGAACACGCATTTTTTTTACCGTGTTACGCTGATCATCGTTCTTTGTTGCTTGAGACCTGCGAATCAAGAAGGCGCGGTTACCATTGACAGGATAGTCAAACTACTTTGGAAGGCCTTAAATCAGCACCAAGCTTACCGGTAGACCTGTTGCACTGAATTTACTGTGATCGCAAGGGGTTTTGTAAACTTTAATACGTACTCACGTACTACTTAGATGTGATTATGGATAAAGGCACATAGTTAGGAGAAGAGATTTTCCTACTAGAAATTTTCGGAGGTCAACATCCCGCAGGCACGCTTTGCTTTCGATAAGTCGGCTACATGCGATCACTCGGCGACTGCTTCTACGACAGTGGTCCTTTACACAATGTGATCCGCGGTCTTCTGGCTGGTCAGTGACGATTCGGCGAAACACTGTCGTCTCGTTACCTCTAGGAGATTTGGAAATTAGCCATTGAGGCTCAGAAAACATGAAAGTATTCCAATGTTGGCTCCCTAGGAAGGAGAGTTTGCAATTATTACTTTACTTCTTCACTTGGGTGTAAATGTTAAAGCACTGGGTAAGTGTGAATCTAATTTAATTCCCCCAATGCATCAGCAGTTTATCGATCCGTTCTGCAAACTCAAATCATCAGGCTATCATGTCACAAGTTTTCCAATATTTTTACATTTGTTTGGCGTTTTGTTTACTCATGTGAAATGTTTTCCCAATCTCTTTGGTTGATCACCCAGAGAGTTTCCGGTTAGTTCACTGTGGTTAAAAAACACCGGCATATGTGAATCAATGATATTTTAGGAGGATAGTTTTCAAAAACATATATTTAGCGGTCTTCTGGATATGCTAGCAATAGAGACGAAGGATTTGAAGCAGTTTGAAGCTACTTTTTAGCGAAGGAAAATGTCTTTGGAGTGGACGTTTTTTGGGGGTACCTTAACCTGATCGTCTGTTAATGTATGAGTGAATATATTTAAAAAAATCATTAGTTTCCTACCCTTCCTGCGGGCCTATTGAAGGCGAACGTCTGCTATCAAACCGATGAAAAAACCAACGGAAATGCTAGTAAATATTTTGGATGATCCATACCACAGGTGCTCTTTGATTGGGACTTTGGGTTCATCCCCACATACAAGTCTGATGCCACCATAGTTACACACAGTTTTTCGAGTTCTACGTCTTTTGATGATCGCTCCGAAGTTTAAGAATCTGTAGTTTTCTGATATGACGGCTGTCTATCACGTTTATACAGATAGGCCAAATGCCAGGTATACGTGTATATATTCACGCAGGCGGTATGAATGTAGTCCGTAAAATTGTGAGACAATCTCCAAAGTAAGGAATGCTCATTAATAGACGTAATATACTACTCATAAGGTTGCTGAAAATTCTTCGACAGCCTACGACCGCTTTCGCCCTTCTTGGGGCTCATCCTAACATCAGCCAAGTCCCAATATAAGTCTCCGGCATATGAGTGTATTTCGCTAATGTTCATTAATTTTAAAAAGGTTTAGTTGCACTTAGTAATCGATTGCTTTCAAAAGGAGACCGACATCATCATATGATTTGGACTCTCTGAATCTCTGATACATTACAAGCCCAAAACGATGCGCCGTAAATGGAGTTACTTTTATGTACTAATCTGTGTTGCTGTAAGTGAGCAATCAACACTACTGAGATGCTAAAAATTAACGACCATAGGGGAGCCGTAACTTTATTGTTTGCATGCAGGCACTTAACACTCGCTGTGCCTCATTCTTTGTTTCCGTCCATAATTCCAACTAACCTACTTGTGTGAATGGAAAAGCCTCTATTCAGATGATACGGACATGAAAGAAGAAGCAAACACTGCGAAAAGTAAGCAGGCTAAAGCTTTTCTTTTGGTTCAAGAAAGCTCAAAACTAAACGGTATTCCATAAAGCCTGTTTTGAGTAACATCAGTGGTGGTGGATTTTGACAGATACCTGTGACTCGTTGATAACTAGTCCCCTTGGTATTTGATGCATCTGTAGTGGGTCCTGTCTTCTCCATGGTAGTTGAACGAAGATTTGCTAAGTTTTAATAAACCGCTGAATTAGACCCAAACAGGATTTGTGGTTGGATGCAGAGAGATCGGTTTTCACTGCCGAAAGTTTTCAGTAATTGGGCATTAGTTTAGGATGGATGAAATAAAGTACTAGAGGGAAAACCCATTACTTTTCTTCCTTTTGGCAAATCGGTACTTGAGGA